TCTTATCGTAGCTGCGTGTTTTTTATTTTTTATGTATTGATTTAGTATTTGAGCGCTTCGATGATAACATCTCCACTATGAATGTGACCTCCTTTCAAGCTGATGATGATGTTTGCGTCGCATCAACAAATATATTTAAATATAGAACGTAATTGGAATTAAAAAAAAAACCCAATGCCGAAAAATAATAAACTCCTGTTGAGCTTTTTTTTTCTCTAATTTCCAATTATTTCTATTTCAATTTCTAAATTATTTCAATTTAAATTTCTAATTATTTCAATATCAATTAAAATTTTCCAATTGTTTCGAATTATTTCTATTTAAATTTTTAAAACCCAACTCCAGTTGAGATTTTTTTTTTAATTTCCAATTATTTCTTATTATTTCTGTTCAAATTTCTAATTATTTCTATTCCAATTTCAAATTATTTCTATTTCAATTTCTATAACCCAATGCCGACAAATAATAAACTCATGTTGAGATATTTTTTCTAATTTCTGGTCATTTTCTGCATCGCCTTTTCAGTCATACTCAAAGATGTGAGCTTCAATATCATGTGCGAGCTGCTGGAGTTTATGTACCAGGGCGTCGTGAATGTGAAGCACACGGAGCTGCAGTCCTTTATGAAGATTGGCCAGCTGCTGCAGATCAAGGGACTTGCGACCAACTCGAACAGCCCGCCTGGCTCCAGTGCATCGGAGAAGTCCACCAGCCAGGCGACAAATGCTGCCGGCGGCGACGAGCCCAACAGCAGCAGCAACGCCAGCAGCCAAAACCACAGCAAGGCGGATGCGGATCAGGCTGAGCCGAAAGGCAGCTCGCGCACGCCGACGAACTCGCCGAGCAGCAGTCGAGCGGATACGGGTTTGCCGTTGTATATGCAGACCAAGCGCCCGGCGCCGGCAGAATTCAGCAGCGACTCCCTGTCCATTTACTCGCGCAAGCAGTTGCGCAGATCCCTGACAGAGCAGCCGGGTGGCGAGAGCATTGACAATGCGGACAGCGGCGGCGGCGGCATGGAGAATGCTTTGGGCACTGAGGAGTTCTTTCTGCCGCCCATACCGCACATCTCCATGGTGGAGCCACGCTACGATATGGGCAGCCTGAAGCGCGAGGCGGAGAATCATCAGAGCGGCAGTTCCGGTCCTTCAACAGCTGGCGGCTCACTGCGCAATCCGTTTGCGCCGGCCTTCAATCTGGACTACAATAACTTCTACAAGGCGGGCAACAGCAGCGGCGCCAGCAGCTCCAGCAATGTGTCCGGTGTGGGCGTCAGCATGGGCAACAACAATGGCGGCGGAAGCAGCGGGAGCGGCAGCGGCGGCGGCAGCAGCCTGGGTGTCAACGCCACCGAATATCCAAATGATCTGTATATGCCCAGCGACTACTCAAAGAACTTTGCCAATCACATGGACATACCATCAAGTAGGTGACGCATTTCCAACTAACCATCTATGTATCCACACATCTCTTCCTCTCTCTCTCTCTCTCTCTGTCTCTCTGTTGCATGCATTCTCGATTTTAGTTTAAAATTCTTTGGTTCATCCGCTCACCCATCATGATTAACTACTAATCCGCAGGGATAATTTTGGCTTAAAACGGGAATGGAAACTGAAACGGCGATATAAACCAAATAGGCACTTATTACATTTGAATTCACTTTCATTTCACGAGCGCACGTGGTTTCCATCTTCTATTACTAACCTACAGTGTTAATGTTGGCTTAAAACAGGGATGGAAACCGGGCTTCAAGCCAATTCGACGATATAAACCTAATAGGAAATTATCACATTTGAATTCACTTGTATTTCACGAGCGCACGTGGTTTCCATCTCCTATTACTAACCTACAGTGTTAATGTTGGCTTAAAACAGGGATGGAAACCGGGCTTTAAGCCAACTCGACGATTATTTTAGTATTGAAACCGATTAGAAACTTATCACAATTAAATTCACGGGTATTTCACGTGCGCGCGTCGTTTCCATATCTTATTACTAACCCACAGTGTTAATATTGGCTTAAAACAGGGATGGAAACCGGGCTTTAAGCCAATTCGACAATGATAATAGACACTTTTAATATTATAACCAAATAGGAACCTATCACACTTGAATTCACCTGTGTTTCACGTGCGCGCGTGGTTTCCATCTCTGGATTAACCAGCGTTATCTGCACAGCTCGCTGCCTGGACATGCTTTGCCCCACCGCCAATAAAATTTACCCAAAACGAATTTTCGTAGCCTCTCCTTGTACATAACATCCTCCGTCTAGGCGTTAAGCATTTGTTTGGTTAACCCGCAAGATTTGCCCCACTAATCTTCCACAATTGTACGTATATTTGTTGCGGACGCTGCACCCATTTGGATGGATCAGATGGCAGCAACATGGTCATGTTGTCCACCACATCCTTGCTGCACGGCAATTGCGTTTTCAATCGCAACAACACGGTCGCCACGCAGCAGGGCATGAAGACCTACTGGCTGTGCAAGTCCTATCGCATCAGCATGTGTCGGGCGCGCTGCATCACGCATCTGGGCCGGATTATATCCGCCACCGGCGTTCACAATCACATGCCCCATATGCGCGGCGGCGCTAGCAATGCCGGCACGCCCAGTAGCAGTAGCTCGGTGACGGTTACGCCCAATCCTAATCCCGGCCAGGCTGGCTACAACGTCTCTGAGGGCAGTCATGTGACGACTGCGCCGGCAGCAGCCGTCGTGGAAATGAACCATGGATCCGGCTCGCGCCTGGGCGCCAACATATTCGCTAACCAGACGCCAGCGTCGCCAGCCGGAGCACATCAGCATCATCATCATCATCATCAACATCTGACGCAGGCGCTGCCCAATCTTCTCGTGCAGCATCACAACTCGTCGCACGTCAGCATGGAGCAGCATGGCATGGGCAATGGTCCGCCGCAGCCGCCGCCGCCGCCTCCGCCGTCCAGCAGCGTCATACAAAACATAATGCACAATCCGAATCTGATGCATTTGCCCATGCAGGCACAGCCGCATCCACATCATCACCAGCAACAGCAGCAACATTCGCCGCACCATCTGGAACTGGGCGTGGGGCCAGGGCCATCGCTGCTGCCTCTGTCGCCCGCGCAGCTGCAGCAGCAGAGTCCGCAGTCGAACAGGAGCAGCCACTCGATGCATGCGACTGAGTCGCCTCTAGGCATGAAGAGCCCCCCGCCACCGCCACAGCCAGCGGATGCGGAGCAGCGGCACGTGGACATCAATGCGAGCGCGGACGGATCGGCGGAGAGCGCAGCGGGCACGGCAGCGCACGTCATCGACTCCATAACGATATCGCCCGGCAGTGCCAGTCACAATTTTAAGATCGAGAACATCTGAGGGCGCCGTTTCTAGTTAATAAGACAACGATAATTTATTGCGGCTGGAGCCGCTTAGTTAGTGTTTTTATAGACGAAATTCAATTTGATTGTATGTACATCAATGTATATAGTACTACCTGCGGGCATGTATATCGAATGTAAAATGCAAATGCAAATGCAAATGAAACATACATACCAAACATACATCTCTCAAACTTGGCGCGTTTTCCCAATGTCCAGTAAATCTGTCTATTAGCCTGGTAAAGTGTCGGCTTTTGGATTTTTCAATGTCAATTTAACTACTGCCAGTTGGGCACACTTTTTTTGATCGTGTTGGAAAGTATCAAAAAATGTCTCTTCAAACTTCTGTTACGTGACGTCATTATATAAAACGCGATTTTGCAATTTCTTTTCTCAAAAACTCTATAATGTGAAAAAAGAGTAAAACTTGACATTGAGAAAAGCGAAAAGAAATGTAGCGTTAGCCGGTTAGCAGGTAAGTCTTACATCCTGGGGTCTGCATGAGACAATAATAATAACGGGGCTCATTTGTGAATGTCCAGCCATCAAACATAACCTACACTCATACACATCTAGACACACACACAAGCACACACACAAACACACATGTACATGCGCTCAATCCTGCCAATCTTGTGTATATTGTAGTCGCACCCGGCGAACACTGGTTTCAAGGCAAGCTCGAGTTTATGCTGAGTCAGCGCGGCAAACCGTTGCTGGTCCACGACGGTCACACTTTTGGCATTCAGTACGTGCGTAAGGATAAAAAATACTGGCAGTGCAATCTGTCGCGCAAATTTAATTGCAAGGCACGAGTTACCACGACTGACACGGGCGAGATCATAGTAACTAACAACGAACATTGCCACACGGAGATACGGCAGCATTTGCGCAAGGACTATCAACGCAACAAGGTCATGATGAATGCGTTAATCAATTTGAGCACGAACCATTTGGCCGCAATGCGACGACACAATCCGGGCGGGCTGGGTGCTCTGCCACCCATAGCCATGGTACCAGGCGCGCTAACTCCGGGGTCCCCTATAATAGATGAGGTAGTGCAGAATCTGCATGATCTGGCCAAGGCATCAGCAGAAGCTAATCAGCAACAGCAACAGCAGCAGCAGCGGGCAAATGAGGCGCTTAAATACGAAAGCGAAGAACCGCTCGACTGCGGTATTCGAAACTCTGCTGCGCTGGACGACATGGCGCGCAGTTGCATTAGCAACAACAAACAAACAGATAATGACAATATTGGCAATGATCTAACTAAAGAGCATGATTGGAAGTGCAAAAACGAAGGGGCTGATGTGCACTGATATCGTACGTTTGAAATGATTAAAATGCGCGAACCCAGCGTTGCAATTTGTCGATAACAAGGGCAGCAAATTTCGATAAGCAAAACGCCACCTAGCGTATTTTCGCTGAGGAGATTTAAATATACATTTAAAGACCAAATTAAGTACAAACGGAAAGCATGCAATACTCAAATAAAAAAAAAGAGCGATACCAAACAAATTCCAAAGAGTTTAGTTAATAAATAAATGCAAATGTTCTCACATTTGATTAGCGAATTTAAGAATACAACATTTTCTGCTGTCTACATTAAGCTGTATCGTTTCAGATTAATTTTAGTTTTACATTGTTATAACTTGAATTTTTTAATAAAATTTATATGTTCTTGGGTGTGTATGAGTATATCTATGCTACAGCAGAATGAAGAACTTAAATATTTATAACACGGCTGAGCTTCTGTATGCGATTGAGCAGCAGATCGCCCTGCTTAATGGTCGCCTGATACTGCCAGTTCTTGTTGTCCGGCCGATTCGTCTCCACAATCCCGCCCACGCGATCCACCTTGGCATGCAAGCGTCCAGCGGCAATAAAACGTGCCAACTCCTGATCGATGTAGTCAACGGTAACGCCAAACGAGTCGGCCATATACTGGAGCGTGAGCGAGCGATACGACTCCAGCAGTTGCGTATAGCCCAGAATGCGCATCTCGCGCACATAATAGCGATAATGCGGATGCACCAGATAATCTGCACGCAGCTGCTTCTCCACTTGCGCCAGATACACGTAGAACTGCTCGTACTGACAGTTGAAGAGCGAGAACAGGAACTGCTTGACATCGGGCAGGCCATGCAGCACTTCTTGAATCTCGGACCCCTTGACCACTTTTTCGCGGAGCTCATTGCGGGGCAGGGCAATCATGGCCACGTACACGGTGTAGCGGACGAAGGTTGGATAGTCCATGAGCTCGTAGGATGTAAAGGTACTGACGGTGTCCAGGAAGAAGGTGGCTGCCGCCTTGAAGTCGCGAATGGCAACCGAATAGATGCCTTGGTATACCTTGAGACGGTTGCGACGATCCCAGTCGCCGCCCTCCTCGATCAGATACTTGGCCTTGTCGATGTTGCGTGTAATCAAATCATGATCCAAATAGAACAGGCCCAGACGAATTAAATGGAAGACAATGTCCAGGCGGTGGCCTAACGACACGGTCTTTTCATACGTCTTGCGAAAGGCCGTCTCGGCAGCTGCCTTGTCGCCAATACGGCACAAGTACTCCGATTTCTTAAGGTTTGCCTCGCGCACCTCCATCTCGCCGAGATTTTTATCGGCATCCTCAATGGCAGCGTCCAACTGTTCAATTGCAATGCGATTCTGTTCGCGCATACGTGCCAGCAAATCCTTGTCCACATTCCAGTTTAGCTCAGTGCAGATGTGCTCGTACCATGGAGCCATATTATCTGCGCGTATTGCATCCAGCAGCTTGGTCTTTAGTGCTGCATCTTGTTTGTGCTCCGCAAGCGTCAGAAGGAACTTTGTCTGAGCCAGCTCCAGGTTGGGGTTCTTCTCCAGACCCTGTTCCTCGAGGTTTTCGGCAGGCATGTTTTTGTTTTAACTTTACGTCTCGATTAAATCAAACAGGGAAATTATTTCCGAGTGAAGATGAAATTTGTTTTCGTCAAAGCCGCAGAGTCATGTACAAGTTAAAGTTGGCTGCGATGATTTGTTGACAGTGTTGAAAAACTGAGCAATTTGTTATCGATGGTAGCGATGTAAAGTTGCTTATCGAAAAAAGGGGAGTGCGAGAGCAATTGATTTTTTAGTGGAAAAGTGATAAGAGGCCCCAAATTTGTGGAAAATTATTGGTTTTCCGCCAAGTGCTAATCGTGAAGAGTACGAATATTCGCAAGGCTTGCTTCCGCAACTAGAGAGCGCAAAGATGATTGGTGGCTTGTTTGTTTACAACCACAAGGGCGAGGTATTAATCTCTCGAGTTTATCGCGATGACATCGGACGCAACGCCGTGGACGCTTTCCGAGTCAACGTCATCCATGCCAGGCAGCAGGTGCGCTCGCCGGTGACCAACATTGCCAGAACTAGCTTTTTCCACATCAAGGTACGTGCCACGTCAACCGGATGTCCGCCCAGCCTCTAATCTATGCTCCCTTCCCCTCTCCTCCGCCTCTTTTAGCGTGCCAACATTTGGCTGGCTGCGGTCACCAAGCAAAATGTGAATGCTGCGATGGTATTTGAGTTCTTGCTCAAGATCATTGAGGTGATGCAGTCTTACTTTGGTAAGATCTCCGAGGAGAACATCAAGAATAACTTTGTGCTCATCTATGAGCTGCTGGACGAGATCTTGGATTTCGGTTATCCGCAGAATACCGACTCGGGTACACTAAAGACGTTCATTACGCAGCAGGGCATCAAGTCGGCCACCAAGGAGGAGCAAATGCAAATAACTTCACAGGTTACCGGCCAGATTGGCTGGCGACGCGAGGGCATCAAATATCGACGCAACGAACTGTTCCTTGATGTGCTCGAGTATGTTAATCTGTTGATGAGCCCCCAGGGTCAGGTGCTATCGGCTCACGTTGCCGGCAAAGTAGTCATGAAGTCGTATTTGTCAGGTGAGCCCCGATCTACTTCTTCGATCATTATCATAATTAATTGAATTCGATTTTTAGGAATGCCTGAATGCAAGTTTGGAATCAACGATAAAATCGTCATGGAATCTAAGGGCAGGGGCCTCTCGGGCAATTCCGAGGCGGAGACATCGCGCTCCGGCAAGCCGGTGGTCGTAATTGACGATTGCCAGTTCCATCAATGCGTCAAGCTGAGCAAATTTGAAACGGAGCATTCGATTAGCTTCATACCGCCGGACGGTGAATTCGAGCTGATGCGCTACCGTACAACAAAGGACATATCGCTGCCGTTCCGTGTGATACCCCTGGTGCGCGAGGTGGGCCGCACCAAGATGGAGGCCAAGGTCGTGCTGAAGTCAAACTTTAAGCCCTCGCTGCTTGGCCAGAAGATCGAGGTGAAGATACCCACACCGCTCAACACATCGGGCGTGCAGTTGATTTGCCTGAAAGGCAAGGCCAAGTACAAGGCCTCCGAGAATGCGATTGTGTGGAAAATCAAACGGATGGCGGGCATGAAGGAAACCCAACTTTCAGCCGAAATTGAACTGCTCGAAACGGACACCAAAAAGAAGTGGACACGCCCGCCCATATCCATGAACTTCGAGGTGCCATTTGCACCGTCCGGCTTCAAGGTGCGCTATCTGAAAGTGTTCGAGCCCAAGCTCAACTATTCCGATCACGATGTGGTCAAATGGGTGCGTTACATCGGACGCAGCGGTCTCTACGAGACACGCTGTTAAAGCCCAGCTCCAGGCCTACCGGAAGCAATCGAGCAAGTGTATCACAAGGACAACAAAAGAAAGAGAATTGAAAGCTTTTGCCAATATTCAATGTTATTGGAATTTCTCTCAATCGAATTGAACAAATGCTGTCGCATATTCCAAATTTAGTTCTTCAGCAACGGGCCTTAAATGCATATATTTATTATAGTTGGCCCATCTTCTAACCTACCTATATATGCATATATAGGCACATATTAAACATACCATTATATTATATTATTATTTACAATATTATATTATGTAATTTTATTAGACTACGCGCGTCTTAAATCTCACTTTTTACACCTAATTATGATTTATGTATTATTATATTAAATGTTTGCCCCCATGGATGTATTTGATAGACCAAAACTCTGTCAAAGCGCGCTAATAATATTGATATTCAAAGTGTTAATCGAATTGTTTAATAAATAAATAGCAAGATATGCATATACTCAAATAAATGAGCAAGCATTTTATATAAAATATAGTTGATAGTTGAGATGTGTGTCAACTGGTTTTATATATATACATTTATATATCAATGGCCCAGCTAAAGTTAATTAGGAATCAAATGATAAATGCACACAGTTAAAAATCCAATAAATTTGGACAGGTCTGTCTATACATATATATAAAGATATCTTTAAAAGACCTATAAAATATTAGACTGTGGCCGTGTGCATGGGCTACTATCTGGAAAAACTTGCGCAGATCAAAGTTCATTTTTGATTTATAAAGACGACGATAGTTGTCACCAGGCCTGACAATTTTGTTTGGATATTAATTAATTGGAATTATATTATATGCATACATATGAATGTATTTGTGTGCTGAGTAGGAGGAGGAGGAGGAGCTGTCCACCTTTTGCCTTATCATTTGTCTGAATCACCGTATCGAATTACGAAATTACCACGGCGATAACGAAAATCGATATCGCCCGGCTGAGATTTTATTTTACACGTCGCCTGGTCAGTCAAAGACGAAAAAATGAATGCTATTGTGCCCGATGTGCTCGATGAGGCGCCGCCCAAGGACAAGCTGAAGGTCAGCTATGCGGGTGAGGTGGCTGTCCAGGAGGGCAACGAGCTGACGCCCACCCAGGTAAAGGACGAGCCGCTTGTGACCTGGGAGGCCGCGGAAGGCGATGAGGCAACTCTCCATACGCTACTGATGGTGGATCCCGATGCGCCCAGTCGCGCAGAGCCCAAGTTCCGTGAGATCTTACACTGGGCCGTGGTCAATATACCGGGCAACCAATTGGGTGCGGGCCAAACTTTGGCGGAGTACGTCGGCTCGGGCCCGCCCAAGGGCACCGGACTGCATCGCTATATATTCCTGCTGTACCGCCAAGGCGAAAGGATTGATGAGTCGCTGCACATAGACAGACGGTGGGTAAGAGATTGCTCCTGCTCCGGGTTTTACTGATATCCTGTTGCCCATTGCAGCACTCGAGCGGGTCGCCTCAACTTCAGTACCCGCCAGTTTGCGGCCAAGCATGGATTGGGCCAGCCCATTGCCGGCAATTTCTATGAGGCGCAATACGATGACTATGTGCCCATACGGAACAAGGAGATTACCGGCTAGCTTGGACTCCAAAATTTATGCAATATGCTGTAGTCATTTTTCTGGCCAATAAAGTCCACCGGGCCCCTATCAGCTGGGTGTCTTTATCTTTATCTTTGTCTTTATCTTTATCTTTATCTAGCCAAAAGTGCACAAAACTGATTACAGCCAACTATGACTTGGCAGCGGAAGCGCCGGCCAGCCGTCCCGGATCGATAAATAGCGCACGGCGCGACATCGAAGGCAGAGTCACTGCCTCAACGCCAGACAGAGAGTATCACAGAGCACCATGGACACCAGCGGCATTATTCCCGACATTGTTGATGAGAAGCCCAAGGCGCGGGCAACGGTTACCTATCCGTCCGGCGCACAGGTGGATCTGGGCAAGGAGCTGACGCCCACACAGGTGAAGGATGAGCCCACCGTTAGCTGGGATGCCGAGGCTGGCGCTTTGTACACTCTGCTCATGGTCGATCCCGATGCGCCCAGCCGCACCGATCCCAAGATGCGTGAAGTGCTCCACTGGGCCGTCATCAACATTCCCGGCAACAAGGTCGCCGACGGCCAGGTTCTGGCCGAGTATGTGGGCGCCGGCCCGGCCGAGGGCAGCGGCCTGCATCGCTACGTCTTCTTCGTGTTCAAGCAGGGCGACAAGATCACCAGCGACAAGTTCATCAACAAGACGTGGGTGCTCCTCAAATATATACCAATTCCTTAAGTAATCCCATTTCTTTTTCCCCATTTAGCACCCTGGAGGGTCGTCTCAACGTGAAGATCCGCGACTACGTGGCCAAATACAGCTTTGGCACACCCGTTGCCGGCAACTTCTTCCAGGCGCAGTACGACGACTATGTGCCCACCATTCGCGCCCACATCAAATAAACACTCTGTTCCAAAACATAAAGCAATAAATTTTCCATAAGCAAATCCCTTCGTGCTTTATTTTCCTTCGAAGAAGTCGGCCACGAGCTGGTTGAACTCCGCAGAGTAGCGCAGGTGGATGTTATGCTTGCCGTCGGGAAACTCGTGGTAGCGTGCCAGTGGCAACCGCTGCTTTAGCCAGGGCACGTGCTCAGCCGCAATCATTGGATCCTTTTTGCCGTGCAGTATAAAAGTCGGCGCCTTCACTTGGCCCACTTCCGTGCGGCAGAAGTCGCCATCGCGCTGCGCATAGAAAGCGCAGGCGGCGTCCACCCACTCTGCCCACAACTGGGCAAAGCGCTCGGCGCCATACACCCGCTCCATGGGTTCACGCATGCGTGGTGACCACTTGGCCACGTCCCGGATCGCTTTTAGCGCCTTCACCTCATCCGCATTCAAATAGGCGCCGGCACCCCAAATGGCCAGCTTTTCCACCGCATCTGCATGACGTCCGGCGAGTATTAGGGCTGTGATGCCGCCATCGCTCCAGCCCAGCACCGAGAACCGGGGTCTGTTCAGGGCACGCATCAGATTAACGGCTGCCTCCGCATCCTCGCGGAAGAATTCCAGCCCAAACTTGCGCTGCGGCGGCACCGATTTGCCATAGCCCGGCGGATCCCAGGCGATTATCGTATGATCCGGCAGCAGCTTGGGCAGCTGCTCTATTTGTGGCTTGAAGTCCGTCCAGGCGGAACCCAGAGCTCCGGGCATCAGCAGCAAACTGCGTGATCCGCTGCCGGATTCGACAATGTGCAGGTCGCCAGCATCTTTTACCCGCACCTTGCGCTCCGTGTGGGCACGTCTAGCCACAAGTCCGGGCAAAATACGACCTGCTGCCAGACGGCCCAGTTGAGTGGCTGAGAGCATTACGTAAGGAGCTGGTATTAACAAAAGAAACTTTAGTCAAATTGTCCGTTTCGAGTGCACTTTAAATTAGCGCGATTTCATTCTTGTTTGTGTAAATACACACATACACAGGTGCACACACAGGTGCGCATACAGGTGCCTTGTAAAGTGCTCGATAAGCGCTCTGATAAATCGCACAGCTGTAAACTCTGGCGCGGGCAGCGGAGATTTCCGTCCGGCAAGCTTTTCTGCGTTTTGTTTGTTATTATCCGCTCCTGCTGCGTAGAGCTTTACAGCACTGGTTCGATAACTAAGTATTTAGTTGAACTGTTATTAACACTGATCACTAATTGTATTCAAAAATTGTACACAGGGCTGTTATTAATGTGCAATGACGCGTCTAACTTCTTGTCTCCCTTCCATTTGTAAAAATTACTTTATTTTTATACATAATCATAAAAGTTGACCCATAATTCGGACAAGGCCTTGCGTATCTTGGCATTTTCGTGACTATCAAATCGATAGAGTTTGTCTAAAGCTCCATGGCCAAAACTTTTTTACTTAATTCAAATCCCCAAAAAGTGTATGGCAATAATTCACAATTTGTATGTCGCACGAAAGCATGCATTCATTTCAAAATTTCACCCTGAATTGAAATTAATATAAGACCCAAGTGTCTACCATACATTCTAAATAAAATTGGCATAATTTTATCCATTTATAGCAAGTTGTTAAAGGCGCCGCACTCAGCTGACACCGCTAGCCCGAATCACCCTGTCTGCACTCGCTGTAAAGCTTCTTGCTATGAAACACTCAGTCGCTGCAGCACATTGCAGCAGTGTGTCTTAGCGTCCGTAAGGACTACGCGGTATTGCGGATATAATTCGTGTCGAAATGGGAAATTATTATAATAAAATTTAAAATGCATTCTGTATTCTGGTTAGTGCGTGATTTCAATGCTGAAGAATATGTTCATATGTACATCAAATATAATCGTGTCCGCCTTCCGAGATGCGTGCAAAATTGCATATTATACGCGCTTCACCCAAGAGTTCCCGTTGCAGAAACCCATGTGGTCAAGCAACCCACAAATAGCCCACACATTAGCTCACATACACACACACACACGCAGCAGCAGCAAATGCAAATCGAATTTGACGCTGAGCTGTCGAAGTTGTGAAGTGTGTAATAAATGTCAAGGCATTTACACGGGTCGTCCTAGACGTCCCTGTATAAGTGTATGTACATATATTCTGTCCCTTCTAATACGCTTCGAGTGGTGCAGGTTATGAACCTGCGTGTTCTGCGCTCATTACGCATGTGTGTGAGTGTGCTTCTGTGTGTGCGTGCGTGCCTGTATGTGTGTGTGTGTGCATATGTATGTTAGTAGTACGCATATGCATGGCTCGTCGAAGCAAGGAAGCTTTTAATTTTTGGCATTCTGATGCCCTACACACGGCAGTCAGGCTTATTCGTAGCATACACCCAGGCGCGAACAAGAGTACAACCGAAACTATTTTCACCCAAGCAAGCAGAAATTGTTCAATTATTAGAATAGCTTACTGCCTTGTTGTAGAGTGTAAACGATTGTTATTCGTGTACAATTTGTACTCAGCGTAGCGTCTAGGCTATGTCGCCTAAGCCGCCTGCTGGCACTCTGTGAAAACGCTGTCGGAGCTTTCGTTATCCATTGGAAACGCTGCGAAGAAATTGAGTTTGAAATTGCAGTTCAGTCTTGTCGTGAATGCAGCGCAGATCGATATTAAAACCTGGAGCAGCGGGTGGCGCTTTGAAAAAATTCGACATTTAATTTTTGTATCCCTATTTGGGTAGAAATTCTCCAAAAATTTTCATGCACACATCTCATCAGCTTCAATATCCTTACAAAAGTTAAATCAAAATTGTTATAAATACAAAAAAGTGTGTTACAAATCGAGTTGAACAGTTGTGTAAGCAAATCGAGTGCTTGAACTAAAAGGTGAAATCAATAGTTCAAATAATAAGAGGTGCTGGTAAACTAACAAGGAATTCGTTTCTTTCATACGTGGAAATATTAACTCTGATGTGGCATTAAAAATTTTCGCCTACGTACAGTGAAAATTTTCCGATTTTTAGTATGTATATGTACGTTGAGGCGCTTGTGGGCACCGCAGTAGCATCGGGTGGAGGGGGCATCCGGCGAGCTTTTGCCACCCCTACACCAAGCTACATATTCGGCTGCTAACGGTTTGCTAACACGAATAAATTGTGAAAAAAAAGAATGTGCACGCTGTTGAGCAATTTGTCAAGCAATATGCAAATGAAATCTACAAAATGCCAAAAACTCAAAGAACATTGCAATCGAAAGTGGAAAACAAGGCAACATTAGCAACAATTTAAGTGATTTGTGCTAAAGAAAAAAAAAAACAAAAGAAATAAGTAACGGTAACAGCGTAACAGCGTAAGAACAGCCGCAGCCAACTTTGCGTACGACGAGCTTTTCTCTCCCACTCTCTTGCTCTCTCGCTCTCTTTAATTCTCTCTCGCTCTTTTGATTGACGCTCTCACACACGACTACACAAAGAAAAGTTCAATGAAAGTTACACGCGCGGATAAAATTCCAAAGTGTTTCGCTCGCGTGTAGTAATAGTAGACACCAATACAAGGACACGCGCCAGAAACGGAAAGCTGCCCGTCAAGGACTGGAATACGAATACGAAAAGGAATACGAATACGCAACTGACATTTACGTTTTACGCGCGCAACTCCTCATGCTTGCATTGGTGCGTGCGTGCGTGCGCGTGGCTGTGTGTGTGTGAATGAGCGCGCGCCAAGTGCAACATATCTGAGTTAAAGAGCCTGAGATAAATATACAACACAGATCCGGACACAGACTATGCACTTGCGGCAATGACAGCCCACAGCATTGAGAACGCCCACAAAATGGACGAGCTGCTGTCAGAGAATAATAATAATAATGGCACCCGGCTACTGCCCGAGCCAGCGACCACTAAGGCCTGCTCCTCTTCCTCCGACTTGCTGTTCAATAAGGCGCGCCGTCGGCGAAGAGTTCTCGCCGAGACTCGCCCGCAGCCCTCGCGTCCTCAGCGTCGTTGTCGTTCGCGCTCTTGCTCCCGGCCAGCCATCGTGGTGGAATATCGTCGCTCATATCGGGTGCTGATTGTGACGGCGCTTCTGGTCAGCCTGGTGGCCAGTTTTATAACGATCAGCGCTGGCTTCCAGCTGGACGGTTCGCAAAGCTCGTTCTACACCTTTCGCAAATGGTATACGGGTCTGAATGGCACGCTGGAGCTGGAGTTCAAGACGGAGCAGCCCAACGGCCTGGTGCTCTATACGGACGACGGCGGCACTTACGATTTCTTCGAGCTCAAGCTGGTCGAGGGCGCACTGCGTCTGCGCTACAATCTGGGCGGCGGTGCCCAGATCATAACGGTGGGACGCGAGCTGCACGACGGACACTGGCATAAGGTGCAGGTGCTGCGCAACGATGATCAGACCTCCTTGATCGTCGACGGCGTCTCACAGCAGCGTTCCACCAAGGGCAAGGAGTTCCAGTTCGGCAAATTCGCCAGCAACTCGGATGTCTATGTGGGCGGCATGCCCAACTGGTACAGCAGCAAGCTCGCATTGCTGGCCCTGCCCAGTGTCATCTTTGAACCGCGCTTCCGTGGCGCTATTCGCAATCTCGTCTATGCGGATCAGCCGGGCGGCATCACCAGGCGGCAGGAAATGAAGCAGCCGCGCGACATTAAATGTGGCGACGCGCCTTGCGACCATGGCGAGATGCCACCCCGCGAAAGAGGAATGAGGGTAAGACAAAACTATTTTGAATATACGCGAGTACTTATTATTCTCTGAATGACTGATTAACTGACTGACTGACTGACGGACAGAAGGACTGACGAATTGACGAACTGATTGCCGGACCGACGGACTGATTGACTGACTGATCAACGCATAGCCCAAGCAGGAAGCAGTGTGGAAAAAGAGTGAAAAACGCTTATTTCAAACATTTTCGTTCAAAATTCGATCAGATTTAATCTCATTTTCCATGATCTTTGCTCAAATTAATTTGAGAAGTGTTTTATACCTTGTGAAAATCCATCTCTCCTTGGGGGGAAAAGGGGGTCAAGAAATTGGTTGGTGAATTTTCAAGCTCAAAACTATTTCCAAAGACCTTTTAAGACGTGTTTCACTCTTCTTGCAAAACCCAAGCATCTTCGAAGGGAATGTGGTTTAAAGATTTCATTAGTATAGTAGATATTACCCGACCTTTGCTAGTCCAATTAATCTTTTTCATTAATTTCCCGTCCGTGTGAAAATTAAAGCTTACTCGTACCATTCGATCCCCAATTTCCACACATAATACGTTGCATCGCCCATATTCCGTTTGTGAGGGAATGAATTACCCAACATTATGTTGAAACCGTTACAATCCGAAAGTCTTTCAATGTCCGCAAAGTAAAATCACGTCTTTATTCGTTTCTTTGCTAACGAATGAGACTTTCTATAATTGTCTAACACTCTTTTCTTAGTTATCGCTCGTTATGTATTGTGCGATAACTAAGAAAGTTTTCGATAGGAGGTGAAGCTGGGCACACAACAGTGTCTCGCTATCAGCCTGCTACGATAGTTAAAACCATTAATAACAACATATTTATGTATGTAGCTTTGAAGGTATAACTAACTCTACGATCTTCTATAATTGTCTAACACTCTTTTTTTTTAGTTATCGCACGTTGTCTTGTGCGATAACTTAGAAAGTTATCGATAGGAGGTGTAGCTTCGCGTTGCGTAGCTGTCATCAATAGTTGAAACCGTTACTGGCAGCATTTTAATGCATAGCTTTACAAAGTGTGCCGAAGGGGGACTATTTCAATTGAAAATCAGTTTCAGGAGCAGTTAAGAATGCATTAAAGTGCAATCTTCCTTTAAATCTCTTCTTTGCATCCATTCTTGACTTGCTTAAAATTGTTGTAGGGCGTTCGCGGCAACACAACCGACGCCTGTGAGCGCAACGATCCCTGCCAGCATGGCGGCATATGCATATCCACGGATTCGGGTCCAATATGCGAGTGTCGTAATCTGGAGTATGACGGCCAGTATTGTGAGAAGGAGAAGGCGCCATCCGAAGCAACGTTCCGCGGTACACAGTTCCTCTCGTACGATTTGGGTCAGACGGGCGCAGAGCCCATTGTCAGCGCCCAGGATGCCATCTCCTTCTATTTTCGCACCCGGCAGCCGAACGGGCTGCTCTTCTACACGGGCCACGGTACTGACTATCTGAACCTGGCGCTGCGCGACGGGGGCGTCTCGCTAACCATGGGCTTGGCCAACGGCAAGCAGGAGATGCACATAAAGCCCGCCAAGGTGCGTTTCGATGATCATCAGTGGCACAAGGTGACCGTCCATCGCCGCATTCAGGAAATCTCGTCCATAACCAGCTTCTGTCGGGTGCGTATTTATTTCCACAAGCTGCACAAGGGCCAAGATCTGATAGGCGCTGCTTTCACAGCTCGTAACGGTGGTGGATGACGTTTACACGGATCACTCGCACATCGCCGGCAAGTTCACCATGCTCTCCTCCTCGCGCGTCTACGTCGGCGGCGCTGTCAATCCTCGTGCTCTGCTCGGCGCTCGCGTGCACAACAACTTCGTGGGCTGCCTGCGCAAGGTGGAGTTTTCGGCGGACACATTGAACCTGAATCTCATCGATCTGGCTAAAAGCGGCTCCAAGCTAATACAGGTGGCGGGCAATGTGGAATACCAGTGCCCCAGCGGCGATCCCCAGGACCCGGTCACATTCACCACGCGCGAATCCCATTTGGTAAGTTATCTGGCAAGTTGCTTTTGTCAAGTTGCTTCTGTAAAGGGTTAACCCCTATCCCCGGCCCCTTTAGGTGTTGCCCCCCTGGGAGACGGGCAAGCAGAGCTCGATAAGCTTTAAATTCCGGACTAAGGAACCCAATGGCATCATCATACTAGCCACGGGCTCCAAGCAGCCACGCGCCAAAAACGTAAGCCCCTAAGCCTTGATTGTAATTCTCCTCCCTCTGCTAATCTTTCATCTTTTCTAGCCTGTGTTGATTGCCATTGAGCTACTCAACGGGCACATTTACATACATCTGGATCTGGGATCGGGCGCCTCGAAGATACGCGCCTCGCGACGTCGTGTGGACGATGGCGACTGGCACGATCTCATTCTGCGCCGCAACGGCCGCGATGCCAAGGTCAGCGTGGACGGTGTGTGGAACGACTTTCGCACGCCCGGCGACGGCACCATACTCGAGCTAGACGGACACATGTATGTGGGTGGCGTTGGTCCCGCCTACAACAGCGTTGCCTGGCCGGCGGCCATCTGGACAGCGACGCTGCGTCAAGGATTTGTCGGCTGCTTGCGTGACCTGGTGCTTAGCGGCAAGGCGATCGATATAGCTGCCTTTGCACGCGTGCAGGATTCCGGTGAGTGTGCCGTGCCTTTTGGTACACATTAAACATAGCCTAATTTCAAATTTTATGCAGCTTCTGTCAAGCCCTCGTGCCATGTGCAGGGCAATGTGTGTAGCGGCAATCCCTGCCTGAATGGTGGCACTTGTCTGGAGGGCTGGAACCGACCCATCTGCGACTGCTCGGCAACTCTGTACGGCGGACCTACTTGCGGCCGGGAGCTGGCCACGTTGGCCTTCAATGGCAGCCAACACATGACCATTTGGCTGGCCAATGGCCAGGGCACTAAGACGCAAACGGAGGAGCTGGTCATACGCTTCAAGACCTCGCGACCGGCCGGTCTCCTGCTCCTAACCAGCGCCGAATCCAATTCCCCGGATCGCCTAGAGATCGCGCTAGTAGCGGGTCGTATTCGCGCCAGCGTGCGGCTCAGCGATCGGGAAAAGGTACGTGCTCTAACTTCACAGCTTCAAGTAACTATTTGTGTCCATGTATCCATATCCTGCAGAACCTGCTCGCTGGCCAATCGGTGCTCAATGACAATAATTGGCACACCATACGCTTCTCGCGCAGAGCGTCCAATCTGCGTCTACAAGTTGACGGGGCTCCCCCCGTCAGGGGTATGTTATGTATGTATCAACAGCACATCTATTGCCCTACTACGTGTCGTGCCGTGTCGTTTTTTTGAAAGGAAACTCCCAAATCTCGAGTCTCCCGCTATCCATAAGCAACTCCTATTCGATTGTTAGTTTCCAATCTGAAGCAGAACAAGTTCAAGCCCCAGCTCCAATCGACCTGTGCATTATTGTTGACAGTTATAGCCAGTTATGTACCCTGCTTCGCCCCCCTTTTGCGTGAAGGTGTGTGAAGGTGCTAGGATTTCAATTTAAAAAGTGCAGTCAGCAGCGGTTTTTTTTGGTTTTTCTAAACTTCAATTTTTACTTTGAGAGAGTTTTTATTTAACTTTTACAAACACACGTGCACAACAATAAACACACACACGCACACACACACACACACACACACACACACAATAAAAAAAAAAGGATATTGATAAGGAAATAACATAAGGAGAACCTTAAAAATATATATACGTTACGTTTGCTTTCCCAAACATTTCTTTGATGCTCATTTCTCATTTTGAATTTCTCATTTCTTAACGGCATTTGGAAATTTGCATACATATTATATACCCATATTCACACCAATACATTTAACGCCTCTTTCACGTAATTACGTAACAACCTTAACTATCCACACTCCGTTTACTTTGTATTTGAATTGATTTTGGATTCAAAAAGACGAAGATGTTGATTCCATTTTGAATACTCGTTCATTATCATTTATTTGACTCTCGTTAGATTTTTTTGAGACTTTTTCAAACATCTTGATGTTGTGTTTTCATTTGCGATACCTCTACTCTGTCATATAAGTATTTTGTTTAATTTTCGACTATATGATTGCCAATACAAGTACCCAAACTAACATTTCAATGAATTTACATAACATACATAAAACTATGTATGCATATTCTCTTATGTATAAATAAGAATACATTTAAACAAACAAAAATAGATTTCGTTTTAAAAGACAAATCCAGGTGTACAGCTGCCAAAATCGCATTGAATGTTATACATATCCATATGAAATTGATTGTCTTGTAAATTGTTATGTCCTTGAAAATATTATCATATTGAGTACTTATAGATGTACATGAATATTCATCTTTGGGTTACATTTCAATTATATGAACAACATTATTATGACCTTGATGTTGAGTTGATGGCTTATCGAATATCTAAATTAATTAATTAATTCGAAAATACAAAAATTTTCATTTCTGTAGTCTGCAGACTGCTTTTAACATTAATGCTTAACATAATCTGTTACATGGGCCCTGCTGCCAGAGTGTCCGTGTGTGTGCTTCTGTTATAACTGGCAATTGATAATGTGACGTCACAAAACATCCCTGTTTTGATTGGTCAGACTCAACATCAAGCATTGTAAATTGTTTATAATTTATGATTTGATTTGCTATTGTTTTCATGTAAATATCAAAGATTTGTACTTACAGGCATACTAAGTATAAGCTAAACAAAGAAAGTGTGTTTAAATAACTGCCATTTAATAATTAAACGACACGTGTGGTATGTGAACAGACTGTTTCAGGAGTGTGTAATTAAAATACATACACTTTTTTGTGTTTCTATATATACAAAAGCATAACAACAGCAGCAGCAGCAGCAGCAGCAACAACAGCAACTAATGTCGAATGCAAATGCAATTTTCTAATCACAAATGTGATCTTAACGATCTTTTCTATTTCAAAATGCAAACAGCAACAATGAAAAGCGAAAAACGTGTAAAGAAAGTAAAGAAAAACCAACGGAAAATATTTCAATTGCAATTTCAATTCTTTAAGGCGAGAGCAAAACAAAAAAAAAAAATCGACACGCAAGAACTCGGTGAAGCATTTTTTTGCCAAATCGCTCGATAAAAGTCGCGTTAAGGATGCGAGCGTGACGACAAATGAAAATGAAAATGCGAAAAAGAAACTGTAAATGAAAAAGAAAATGGTGTCCGAGCGCACGCGACCTGTGACTTATTGAGACGAGAAGGCAAAACAATGTTTGGAAGCACCCAGGGCTGTAATTTTGCACCATTTAATATGTAATTAGCTTTGTGTTAAGTAAACTACTAATGTACTAGTTAATAACTACGTCTTAATTAGCGTGTCCAAACTAGTTTCTCGTTGTGTAAGTGTCGTAAATGTGCAAACTCGCCAAGAAGCGGCGCCGGCGCCAGCAGCCAGGCGGCTCCTGTTGACGAACTTGGCTGCTCGCCGTGGCCAGCTTGAGGCGTTGCACACATACTCGCGCACGCACACACACGCACGCGCACACAAGCACACGCGAATATTTGCTGCACCTCGGTTGTTATGTACACACGCACGCACACCAATAACTTTGCACACACCACACACGTCAGCGTTTGCATGTGCGCACCTGAAATAAATGAGAACGTAACAACTAAAAAAAAAAAAAAAATAGGAAGCAAAATTATTAAGTTTGAATAAACTATAGCCAAAAATCGCATGACTTGCTGTACATGCCACGCTCTACGATATGCCCGATAAATATATCTATATCTCTCATATTTCTCTTTTTGTCGAGTACTTAAAAAAATACAAATGCGGCTAATTATATGGTTAAGCCAGCAGCTGCAACAATTGTGAACCACTTTGCATTTCACCTAGTTTTAGTCCATTTCATTTCTATCACTTTCTATCTCACTCTCTCTCTCTCGCAGTCTCTTTATAACTACAGTTATAGCTTTCGGCAGTCATTTGCATGTACAGATAACAATCATTCTCACGCGTGGCCCACGCGTCGTATGCGCATTGTGGTCGCTGCCCGTTGGGGCAAATGCACCATTATTAGCTAGACGTAGTCAACGTATAGGTGACACGCATACACACCAACACACACACACACACACATACATAACATAACCTATTTATACTAACTATACAAAATTTGAGTATAAATTGCCAATCGATGTTTAGTTTCAATGTCGTTCAATATGAAGCAAAATTCACAATATTTTTTATTTTTTAATATAGGAATATTTTTGATTATTTTCGAGTTTGGTTTAGGTGAAAAAAGGAAACAAAAAATTAATAAAAATAAATTATTATCAACTCTTTTTCTGTTCCGTTCTTTAATCTTTGGTTTATATTCTTTCAAGCAATGCACCTAATGAATAAAAATGTCACCGCTACGTAAAGTAATCGTAATGAAATTGTATCTCACACACCTAAAAATAAGAACCTTAAAATGGCATACACATATACCCACTCTGTATGTATGTGGTTGGATATATGTATGTATGTATATCAGCAAGCGCACCCAACTAACTAAACTAACTATATATACCTTTTTACCTAACTACACTAGTCTAACGATTATTCATGGTTTAAAGCTGCAGCATTTATCTTTAATTTTTCTCTATATTTATCAGTTCACACATACATGTGTATACGTATGTATGTTCGTATACTCGTATCTACATAAATATATATATACCATATATATGATAACTATCCGTAACTGCACCTTTCTTTAGTATGTACCCAAAAGCTGCGACTGTCGAGTGACACCTAACTAAATATTCAACTGCCCGAAACGATTTTGAATCAAATTTAGCTCTATGTCTACTTAATGCATATACATCTATATACTCCACTATATACTCTACCAAAGACAATAAAAAACACTAAGAATGAGCAAAGCCAGTGCAGTGTATAACAACACATTCAAATATGCCGTTATGTATGTATATGAACAGACAACAAACATAATTGCTTGCAGAGCCGGAGCTGAGATTCTATTTTTAGCATTTACGCTCTTTCAGCTGTGAGAGTGAAAATGATACAGATTTCGTTTATTTCATTGCCAGCAAAAGCCACACTAAAAATATGCCGTTATATATGTACAAATATGAGCACACATACAAACATAACATAACAGTCGAAGCTGAGCAAAAATACTATTGTTAGCATTTTTGCTCTCTTGCAGCTGTGAGAGCGCAACGAAACTGATTTCGTTTTCGTTCTCAATTTGAGCATTTTGTGTTATGCCGTTACTCTTCTTGGTGTTTATATTGTCTTTGACTCTGCTACTACTAAATACTCCTACTATATACTACTTACACCGTTTTGAATACAAATGCGTATGTGCTTCTTGTAACTAAAACATTAATTTGTCACCAACAACAACAACATATCTCGTATATATACATATATACTATGTAGTACAGTACACATACATGTTTGTATGTATGCCTATACCAAATGTTAACGGTACTAGTCTAACTAAACAATTAGAGCAAGCCCCAGCTAGCCCGTACTAGCCCGAGGTTTATCAATCTTTGCCGTATTCTTTGCACAGCTGAGACAATACTGGGACGGCACAGTACCATGGAGATACGTTCGATACACCTGGGCGGGCTGTTCCATGCCGAGGAGGAGATACAGATGACCTCGACGATGCCGAACTTCGTGGGCCAAATGCAGGGCTTCATATTCAATGGTCAGCGGTAAGCAAAGGAAATAATCTCTGGCTCTCAAATGACAAGAAACACCTTAATCCATTGGCTCCTTTAATAGTTACCTGGACATCGTCAAATCGCTGGGACCGGAGCTGTCAGCACTGCCCAGCGCCACGTTCAAGCTGACGGCACGCTTTGTCAACTCGCCGGCGGGACAGCCGTATCATGCGGCTACCTTTCGCTCCAAGCACTCCTACATAGGTCTGGCCATGCTTAAGGCCTACACCAGCATCTCTATAGACTTTCGCTTCAAGACCGTGGAGCCCAACGGTCTGTTGGTCTTCAATGGCGGACGACGCAATGATTTCGTGGCCGTGGAGCTGGTCAACGGGCACATACACTACACATTCGATCTGGGCGATGGGCCTGTGACCATGCGGGATAAGTCGCGGATTCACATGAACGACAATCGCTGGCATCAGGTCAGCATTCGGCGACCCGGGCCCAAGACGCACACCTTGACCGTGGACGATTCCTTTGAAATAATCACATTAACGGGCAACAATATGCATCTCGAGCTGGCGGGCATCCTGTATATTGGCGGCGTATTCAAGGACATGTACTCAAAGCTGCCGGGCTCAATATCCTCCCGCTCCGGCTTCGAGGGTTGCCTGGCTTCGTTGGATCTGGGCGATAGCTCGCCCTCACTGACCAGCGATGCGGTTGTGCCCAGCTCGCTGGTGGTCAGCGGCTGCGAAGGACCCACCAAGTGCAGCCAGAATGCGTGCGCCAATCGCGGCGTCTGTGTCCAGCAATGGAATGCGTATGCCTGCGAGTGCGACATGACCTCGTACACGGGTCCAACCTGCTATGACGGTGGGTTCTATTTCAGAAAGTGATGCTAAAATAACACATTAATTCCCAATCTTGTAGAATCCATTGCATATGAATTCGGCAACAGCAAGGGCATGGTGCAGTACAGCTTCCCGGAGAGTGCACAGGCGGACACCGAGGAGGACAACATTGCGCTGGGCTTCATTACCACCAAGCCGGATGCCGTGCTGCTGCGCATTGAGAGCTCGACCACACAGGATTACATGGAGCTGGAGATAGTCGAGGGCAATATCTTTATGGTGTACAACATTGGCAGCGTGGACCTGCCGCTGGGCGAGATCGGCACCAAGGTAAACGACAATGCCTACCATGTCGTACGCTTCTCCCGCAAGGGCGGCAACGCAACGCTCCAGCTGGACGACTACAATGTGCAGGCGCTCACGCCTCAGGGTAAGTTCGAGGAGTTCTCTTCTTAGATCTCATTCATGGAATTTAAATATCTTTCCGACAGGACACCACTCGACCGTTTTCAATACCATGTCGAATATTCAGGTGGGCGGCAAATTTAGCCGCAACGGTCGCACCAGGATCGAGCGACCGTTTGCGGGCGTCATCGCCGGCTTGTCGGTGAACAAGCTGCGTATCCTGGATCTGGCCGTCGAGCGAGATCCGCATATCACCATACGTGGAGATGTTCAATTGGTAACTGGAGTATTAGATAGAAATGATCTGCAGAGAATGCAGCAGGTTAGGGAATTTATTTGAAATTTTATTTCAATTCCTCTCAACTTTCAACTTTCCAAAGTATTTTTCTCATCGTAACAAACAAGTTTATTCAAAATTCTTTCTTTAATCAATCAAAACCAAAAACCAATATAAAATCGAAATAATTAATCAGCTTTATTCGTTGTGTGAACCGATTTTCCTACCTCAAGTACACATCCTTCAAGAATCAATCATTCGAGATTGAGCCTTAAATGTGATGCTGGGGGGAAATTCAGTTCCACATTGAAAACCTTAACTTAAACTAAAACTAACGTATTAGCTACTAAATGTCTAAGCTAGTGTAAATGCCATATTTGATTTCCGTTCATATACTATTAATATATTCATTTCCCTTGTTTCTGTCAGCGATGCTTAACTTAACTTAACGTAACGCTTTTTGTAACCAGCACCAGCAAATAATCCTCAAGAAGTTGCCACTTACCTTAGTTTTTTGCAATAATCAATGCATATAATCATATATATGCATTATGTATAATACCTTTAAGTAATCACATCTATAGATATACATTGATATCCAGATAGATTTAACGTTTTGTTTGCACTGTACATTTTCTCGTTTTGAAGCCAGTTTAAACGCACAAATGCTGCATGACTCTATACATAACCAGCACAAAGTACTCAAATACACTGCACTACATAATACATGAGCTAACACATCCATGCACACAGTTGCAAATAGTTCGCATACTCAGAGAACAAATCATGAGTTAAATTGTATCTCATACAAGACTTTAATTATTTGCGGATTTTTTCTCCGAGTGTAAACATACATACAAATCTAATGCACCTACTCAAGTAACAATCACTAACAAACAATATAACCGCTTGGCCAGGTCGGCGCCAGATCAACTGAAGTAAATTTAGACTTTGAACTCTACTCGACAGACGCCTGCGAGCGGCTATCCGGGCGCCATAGACGATCTGATCTTCTCCGGGGCCGGGTCCGGTTGTCGCGGCGACGACGAGGACGAATGCACGCCCCCATTTGAGTCGGGCAGCGGGGATGACCTAATAACGCCCGTCTATGTGCCGCCCACCAAGCAGACGACGACCACACAGCAGGGCAACAACAATCTGGGCTCCGATCGCAACAACAACAACAACAACAACACGAACAACAATGGCACGGAGCGCGCCTGCGATGATGAGGACTGTGTGCACGGTTCCGGCGATTATGGAGAGACAACGGAGCAGTTCACGTCGACCAGCACGGCCAAGGGTGCAGGTGAGATAAAGTTCTCCATTTTTCTATATAGTTTTTTTCTGCCAGTGTGGTGTCATTTTGTCATTGACATTTGCATCACACATCATCATCAGACACAATTATTAGCTAGCCAAAACTGTATTGTTCGACTACATATAATATATATACCTATATATATATATATATATACAGTCGTATATAAGTAGAATGTGGTTCGTTTTTAATGCCTAGTAGACACACATATATAACTTCTAGTTAAGCCGCTTATCAGTTAAAGATGTTCTTCTACTCTGGGTTTTTATGCGCCTTGAACTATGCTACGCTTTTAAACGCTTACAAAAAATACACACAAACACAGACATACATATCACACACACACACACACACATATTGTTCAGTTTAAGATCAGTTCAACACGAAGCATAGAACCTATATAGACTGGACAAATAGAGTACAAGAATGGGACGACGCATTTTTTTGTCGCTCGAGCATGCTCAGACAGCAAAGAGAGTAAGAAATACAAATGATTTGTGTGTTATCTCGCTCCCACTACAGGAAACTGCTTTGGCTTCCTCTCAGTGTGGTAGAACGGCATCGCTCTCACTTACTCTCAGTGCTCTCTCAATGCGCTCTCCTTGTGTTTAGGGATCATTTAAATTTGTGTGTGTGTGTGTGTTTGCACAAGCAACAATTCGAACAAAAATATGCGTGCTCTCACTCTCTTACGCTAGTTGTCCAGTCTCTATATATATCTATGTTGAGTGTTTCAATTCAATTCAATATCTCGAAACTCAACTTTCAAAATCAATACTCAGCTCAGTCTCACTCAACTCGTGTCATCCTCAGTTCAGCTTCAGCGCCAAAAAAAAAGTCGCCCACTTCATCCACTTTGTTGTTGATGATGCTTCTAATTTGAACTGACAATGAGTACGCCTTATGTGTCTCTTTCAGAATGTGAACACGTCTTCATATTTCTGACTGTGATTGCGCCTTGGATACTCTGTAAATTTAACTAAAACTAAAAGAAATCGAAATGCGATATGCAAATACAAAGCAATGCACATAGGCTAAGCGCCTAAATACTTAGACAGTGTCTAACTACTTATATACCTATATATATCCATATATATATATATATATATATATATATATATATATTAAGCATATATGTATTATATGTATCTGAGCAATACCACCAACAACAGCAACAAGATATCGAACAACAACAACAACAACTCCAATTAATCCTACAACTATTAAAGCAACACATAAAAAAGCGTTCGGGCTGGGTTCAAGGATCAGGGAGATAATAACACTATCGAACTTTATTGATGTTTTGAGGAAATTATTTAAAAAAAAATTCCTTCATTACAAAAATCTCATTTGAGGAAAATATTTTTTAAAAACATTTCTTTCATTACAAAAATCTTCAATTAAGATATATACATTTTTTTTTTTACAAATTATTTTTATTTGAGACCCAATGCATCGAAATATGTTCGCTGAAAAAAACGTGTATTTAAAAAATATATTTAAAAATCAAATGTGTATGTATGTTGTATGCAAACACTCGATATGTAAATGTATGTATATACCCGTAGCGAGACGTGTGATTGATGGAAAGAAAGTATTTTTGCATAAATAATTTACAAACTTACATACAAAATTAGCTTAGCTGCATAAGTACCTAAATGTACGTTTAGTTCTCTCTTCCAATTGTACATATCAGCCAGCATATCTCTCAATATCAATATCGAACTAGGCTCTCTAAGTTTACGTTCAATAAATTATGAAAACTAAAGTCCAACGTCAGATAAATACTCTCTTTCTGGGGGCGGGGCGCACACGCACTGCCACAGCACAGAGCACAGGCAGCACAAGCAGCACTCGCAGCACAGCTCAGTATTCCAAATCAGTCACTAAAAACCGGTGCTAACCACTTACAGAGTCCAACATCGAGCTGGTGACCGCATCCACAACCGGACGCAGCGATCTCACCACTGAGCAGCAGCAACATGGCAGCAGCAGCAGCAGCGGATTGGGCAGCAGCACCTCCACCTATATGACCACAATGTCCAGTGCCGGCAGCAGCAGCAGCAGCTCATCCAGCAGCCAGCCAAGCAGCACGTCCAGCAGCGCGGGCACCAGCACGCAGCGCAGCAGCCAGCCGAGCAGCAGCTCCAGCACGACGACAACAACCACGACGACAACAACAACCACGACAAGCACGACAACAGCACAGCCGGAGTTGCGCACCACGGTCACGGAGCGCGAAACCACGCACGATATCTACGTGGCGATAGGAGGAGGCGGCGGCGGCGGCGGAGCTGGCGGCGGCAACCGGGATCATGAGCGCATGCAGCTGCCTGACGACCACCAGTTGCCTCCTATGCCCCCGCCGCTGCCACCCCAGCCAGATCCGCCGCCATACGGGCCCTATGGCGGCACCACCTACAACAGCAATGTGAACAGCTATCGGCCCAAGGGCGGCAAGGGTGGACGCATTAATTCCATTGAGGAAGAGCGCACAGCCATGATTATAGGCATTGTGGCGGGCATTTTAATTGCGGTTATCCTGGTTATCCTGCTGGTGCTGTGGCTCAAGTCGAACGGCGATCGCGGCTACAAGACGGAGAGCGAAAAAGCCGCCGCCTACGGCTCGCATAATCCGAATGCCGCGCTCCTGGGCAACACCAGCACCAATGGCTCGTACCATCAGCAGCGGCAGCATCATCAGGCAGCCGGTGGCGGGCTACCCGGACAGCTTCACGGTCAGCACCAGCTGCAGCAGCAGCAGCAGCAGCAGCAGCAGCAGCATCACAACATCAACGGAGCTGGTGGAGGAGGCGGTGGCATGATGTCCAGCGGCAGCGGCTCGCTCGGCTACGGCAGCGACGGGCGACCCCAGATGGCGGGCCTGGTGCAGCCGAAGGCCAAGAAGCGCGACTCCAAGGATGTCAAGGAGTGGTATGTGTAAGCAACGCCAACGCCAACGCCAGCTACAAACAAACAGCGTCAAATTAGCAATACGACAGGTGATCCAGTTGATCCAGTTGAACCGAAAGACAAACCCAAGTACTTTACTTCATTTATATTTAAACGCATGCAACAAAAAACACAACAAATTAAATATATATATATATATGTTTATTTAGCAATCTCATGGCGTTAATTAACTAGACACACGCATTGACAAAGTGTACAAATGACGGAAGGATAATAAGCAAAGCCCGCACGGATTCGTTTGTTAGCAAATGGACATTCCACACAAATCAATACAAATAAACACATAATATTTTAGCTGCATACGCATTAAGTTTTAAAGGTATTCAAAAAAGTTACAAGACAAATTAAAACAAAAAATTCAGCAAACAAAATATGCCTAAGTAATTATTGCTTCAAACTCAAGACTTGCTAAAAAATAAAAACAAAACTAAACAAAAAAAGAGAATATAAATCACAACATATATATATACACACTCACACACACACACACACACACACACACACAGACAAGCATATATCATTATGTTATAATAAATTATGCCACTAGCCAATCAAATAATTGTGTATAATATATCGCTATTAAATATAAAGCATGAGCAAGTGTTAGCTAAGCGCGGCCTATTAAACAAAACTAAACTGCAAGATATAAACTAGAATTTACACAATTTAGCGAAATTCGATGTAAACGTAATTAACACAAAAATATTATTAAAATACAATACAAAATACATATGCATAAAGTTCGACAAGCAGCGTGTAAAGTTACAAAATGTGGTGCTGTTTAATGATATAAACAATGCAGGCAGCGTAAGATTAAATATTATTAGCCTAATGTTAATGACAAATGCAAATATGGTTTATTGAATAAGTTTATTGAAGCAAAAAAACAATTGCAACATGGTTGAATACGCGATTTCTTTGTTTGCGTGCAGCAAAACAATATGCCACATATTAATTAATAATTAATGATTTAACCAATTTAATTCCTAAAAACAATACCCAACATATATACTTTAAATATATGTATATGTATTTGAGACTATATATTGTCATAGACTCTTATGCAATATGAACTCGGACATATCAATTCAAAAGACACGAACTCTCTCACACACACACAGACCCACACACACACACACACACACACACACACACACACACACACTGAAGCGAACCTACCTAGCTTTTTTACATAAGTGAGCAGAATTACTTTACAGCTGAAAAGAAAACGGAAACGGAAACAAGCAACAATTTTACAGTATTAGAGCCGCTTTGTGCATATTTTTAGACGGCTTACGTGACGTATACGCAATCAGCAGCAGCAGCAACTAACAATAAGGCAAACTACCAATACACAGACAAGCACACCTACACACACACACACACACACACACACACAGATTAAAATTCAATCGTTTGTAATTACATATATCAATTTGGAAGGCTTTATTTAATTCTGCTGCTATTTGTATACCAAATTTTTGTATACATTTATTTAATAAATTCAATCTTACATATTATACACATGTACTCATATATCTATATATATATATTGGAGGTTTACACGCACACACACACACACACACTTGCAACACATGAGTTAGCTTAATAAATATCTCATTGAATTTCGCCTAAATTTGCTTTAAATTAAAAATAAATATTTATATATATATGTATATTTACATATATGTATGTACATTTGACTCCTATTAAACATTTATAGAATTTCCAAATTTATTTGATACATTTTTGAGTTATTGAGAATCTCAACTTGTATACAAACGAAATACACGACAAACTAGCGAAAACACTTAGGACATTTACAACACTATACAATGCACATATATATACATACATATACACACATACAAAGGCAACCCTACTTACATATATATATATATACTCTACTCTTTATAAATGTACATCTATACAACATATACATACATATACAATATATTGTAACGATTGTAATTAATGAATTATTATTATGTATTTCGTCCCTTCAATTTGATAACTAATTCATAACAAATTAAAATGCTGTTGATAACAAATTAACATTCCCACTTAAATATGTATGTACCACTCTCCAATGGCTACGATAAATTTCTATATACATATATATAATTATATATATATGTATGTATCCTCTCACAATGTTAATGCTGCACAAGGAAAACTCTGCATTTAAAGTAAACCACAAAGTTTATTCATTTCAATTTGAAGGAAACTCAAATTTTGCCTTGCGATTATTAAAAGTGCACCCAAAAAGCAAATAAATTCAACCTATTGAGAAGTCTACGCGCCATGCAAATAAAACTTAATAAGTTGTTTAATAACAATATATTAGATAAAACAAATACAACACTACCAATCGATTAAAGAATAATGTTATGTATGATAAACCTAAATGATAAGGGGCAAGGCAAGTACAGTTAGTTTAATGAGTAACAGTAACGGTAACGGTAACTTAGTTAAACCATGTAATAGTTGAATGATTGTAGGAACAGGTAAATGCGAATGAAATGCAAACAATGTATCAATACAACTTAAACTTATATCTATTTAGGCTTAATATCATTGTTATCTAATATATATATACGAAATTAACACACACCCAACACACACACACACACACATACCCAGTATATAACGACAAAGAATATGTATATGAGTATATGAACATGTAATGGCTGCGCAACGCTCAGGTTGCGCCTATATTATAACAAATCGTAACGTGTATGAGCGTGTCTGTACGTGTCTGTACATGTAGCGGCAGTGATTGTTAATGAAATGGCTTTGTTTTGTGTTAGATTTTATAATTTATGAGAAAGAAAAAACGATATAAAATTGCATACAAATACAGAATGACTGACAAAACACAGAATTATAACATTGCATATAATAAATAAAGTAAAAGTATAAAAGACGGTGTTTTATTTTAAATATGTAAAATGATTTGTGAACTCACCAGGCAAACGTTATTGAACAGCTAACAACTCTAACTGCTCCAATTTATACTGCTTGCTCTTCTTCTGACGTATATCACATTCAAATTGCGCAGGGTCAATTGTCTTGCTTGGATGACATGCTTTTCATATTTTTATACAACCACACAACCACATTCACACTGCCACTTCACCTGCATTGGACCGCCGCGCAGCTTCAACTGAAGCTCAGCTTCGACGGGCAGCTGTATTTATACGACTGGCTTTGCAATGTTAAATAACATTGCTGAAAAATGTTAATTTTTATTTACAAAAAAAATTAGGCCAGCATACCAACGCTTTATACCATGTGCACCGGACCGCCGCGCAGCTTCAACTGAAACCAAGTTTCAGTGGGCAGTCTTATTTATACTGCCGGCACCTACATTAATGACGCGCTTTTATATTTTTACACACTCACACAAACACATTCACACTGCCAATTCACCTGCATTGGACCGCCGCGTAGCTTCAACTGAAGCTCAGCTTCGACGGGCAGCTGTATTTATACGACTGGCTTTGCAATGTTAAATAACATTGCTGAAAAATGTTAATTTTTATTTACAAAAAAAATTAGGCCAGCATACCAACGCTTTATACCATGTGCACCGGACCGCCGCGCAGCTTCAACTGAAACCAAGTTTCAGTGGGCAGTCTTATTTATACTGCCGGCACCTACATTAATGACGCGCTTTTATATTTTTACACACTCACACAAACACATTCACACTGCCAATTCACCTGCATTGGACCGCCGCGTAGCTTCAACTGAAGCTCAGCTTCGACGGGCAGCTATATTTATACGACTGGCTTTGCAATGTTAAATAACATTGCTGAAAAATGTTAATTTTTATTTACAAAAAAAATTAGGCCAGCATACCAACGCTTTATACCATGTGCACCGGACCGCCGCGCAGCTTCAACTGAAACCAAGTTTCAGTGGGCAGTCTTATTTATACTGCCGGCACCTACATTAATGACGCGCTTTCATATTTTTACACACTCACACAAACACATTCACACTGCCACTTCACCTGCACTGGACCGCCGCGCAGCTTCAACTGAAGCCCAGCTTCGATGGGCAGCTGTATTTATACGGCTGGCTCTGTTATGTTAGATAACAGTGCAGCAAAATGTTATGTTAATGTTAATGTTAAAAATGCCATAACAGCTGTTAGCAAGGGCGTGAGGAACTAGTTGTTCAGTTTCGTGAGTCATTCAATTGAACTTATTCTAAAAGATATAATACAACACTATAACATTTGCGTGTGACTATTAAGAATAAAAATTACCTTTTTAAGTTATAAGTTTAAGCACAAAATATGGCTGGAACCGCAAATGCTGCCGCAAAGACCGAGATGATTGATCTCACCAAGCTCAGTCCGGATCAATTGATGCAAATCAAGCAAGAGTTCGAGCAGGTGAGTGCCAGTCGCATGTGGGTGTTGCTGCTGCTCACCAAGCTGCCGAGGGGAGCGCGGGGTACCGTAGCGCAGTTGCACGCTAATATGGCACATGTTAACAATTTGATTTTGTATGTGGCACGTTTAGGAGATGACCAACATACAGGACTCGCTGTCCACTTTACACGGCTGCAAAGCGAAATACGCTGGATCGAAAGATGCCCTAGAAGCATTCCAGCCAGATTGGGAGAACCGTCAAATACTCGTTCCGCTGACCAGCAGTATGTATGTGCCGGGTCGCATAAAGGATCTGAATAATTTCATCATAGACATCGGCACCGGCTACTACATCGAAAAGGTAACTCGAACTGCTTTTAATTATTTTGCTGCGCTCACTTCATTTGTTTGGTTTAACAGGATCTGGAGGGCTCCAAGGACTATTTTAAGCGACGCGTCGAGTATGTGCAGGAACAGATCGAAAAAATCGAAAAGATCCACTTGCAAAAGACGCGTTTCCTGAACTCTGTGATGGGTGTGCTGGAGATGAAGCAAGCGGCTGCCGCAAAAATGATCCAGCAACAACAGCAGCAGCAGCAGCAAGGCAAGCAGAGCGCCTAGTCGACTGGTCGCAGAACAAAGATGATGATTAAATTATTGAACTTATAAAGAATTTGTGCATTTAATTGACATATGTAGTTTATTAAATTGTTCAACTACTTTTTGGCTTCTGCCAATGCTACACTCAGCACCTGCAACTTTTGCTCATAGGCTGCCTTCAGGTCCTGCCAAGTAAAGTTGGATATGTTTGTTATTGACCTATTTTTCATCATATTTCAAAGCTCACCTTGAATATCTTTGACTGTGTGTCATATTCTGCACGCAGCTTGTCGTAGACGGACTTTGATATAGCCAGTTTCTTTTCGGTGAGCGCACACTTGTCCTGCTCGGCCTTGATCCACAGTTGACTCTTCTCCAGACGCGCTTGGGTGTGTTCGCACTCTGTGGTTTTTAGCTGCAGCATGTCTTTGGTCACCTGCAGCACATCCTTAATGGAGTCCACCTGATTCTTGAGCACGGCAATCTGTTGTTCCTGCTGCTTGTTGACTTTTGTCTTTTCAAAGAGCAAAGTTTTGGCCTTAAGCAGCAGCTCCTCCTGCTCCTGGCGTGATTTGGGCGCATCTGTGCCTCCCAGCATCACCGACTGCTTCAGGGACTGCTCCAAATTGGCCACTCGCTTCTGTAATCGCTCATTCTCGCATCGCGCATCCTGTTCAAATGGGTTTTAAGCCAATTTAACTACTCGGCAAATGGTTCATCCAAAACTAACCTCAAAATCTTTGCGCAGCGCACCAATTCGTTTGCGGGACTCCTCGAGCAACGCTTGCTTTTCGCTCTCCAATGTGAATACCATGTCGAGCAGCTCGTTTTGGGGTTGCGCCGCTGGCTGCTCCTCTTGTTCAGCCTGTCCACAGGCAGCGGCTTCATTGTTATTCACATCGCCGTCAACCGCGTTTTCCGAAATGTTTGCAGACATATTTCTTAAAATTGTTCTAAATAATTATAAAATATTCACACGGTTTACGCTTCTTTGTCCGATTTCTCTGGCATATTGTTTTCTTTTTGTATTTATAGACAAAATAGATGCATGTTCTATATATAGCCCCTTTTGTGGACTCGGGCTCTCTTTGCTGCGCTCTCTCACATAATTCTCTATACTCTACGCTAGATAATAAACATTTAGTTTCCGATTTAGTTTTGCATACGCCGCAGCATATTCTGAAGTTTCATTTATTATGTGTGTTACGTGAATGAGGCGGGCTTATTAAATGATGCGCGGGGTTAATACAAATCGCAGTTAGCAGAAAACAATTAAATTGTTATTACAATTAAATGGGAGCGAAAGTTTGCAGTGAGTTTAACATAAGATTAAGTGCCTAAACAAATTTTAGAAATGCCAAGAGCAAGGTTTGCGGGTCGCTTTAACCGTCGAGCTCGCCGGCAGCGCAGGCATCGCCGTAGCTCTTGCCGCTCTTGTCCTCGGGATTCAGCTTAATCATATCGTCAATGCGCAAAATAGTTATTGCCGCCTCCGTAGCAAACTTCAGTGATTTGATCTTGGACATGGCCGGCTCCAGGACGCCAGCCTTCTTGTTGTCACGCACGACGCCCTCAATCAGATCCAGGCCGGTCCACTTCAGCTCGCCATGCTTAGAGTTTGTTTGGCTGGAGTTGTGGTAGGAGCGCAGCTTGGCCACCAAATCGGTGGCATCCTTGGCTGCATTCACAGATAAGGTTTTGGGAATGACCAACATCGATTTGGCGAACTCGGCAATAGCCAGCTGCTCGCGCGACGACAGCGACGTAGCAAAGTTCTCTAGGTAGATGGACAGCGCCGCCTCCACGCAGCCGCCACCAGCAACGACTTTTTTGCTTTCCAGCACACGCTTCACTACGCACAGAGCATCGTGTACGGAACGCTCCATTTCATCACAGTAGAAGTCGTTGGGACCACGCAAAATTATAGATGCAGCAGCGCTGTAAAAGCACAAGAGAATTATAAGAAATGGTCACTTTATACTTTCGGTTAAGCGACATCTTACCGAGCTTTGGTGCCCTTAATGAGAATGAGCTCATCATCGCAGATGCGCTCCTGTGCCACCTCAGCTGCCTCGCCCACCATCGAGGCATCGAAGCTCTCCTCCCCATCCATGTTTGTCAGCGAGGTAAGGAATGCAGCGCCCGTTGCCTTGGCAATGATTTTCAGGTCACTCTTCTTAACGCGACGCACAGCCATGGCGCCGGCCTCGACAAAGTACTTCATGCACAAATCATCAACACCGCCACTGGACAGCACAACGTTAACGCCGGTGCCCAAAATCATGTTGATGCGCTCCTTGGTGATATCCAGCTCACGTGCGCGAATGGCCTCGAGCTTGTCGGGATCATTGATCAATACCTGTACGCCCATTTTCATCTTGGTCTTCTGCAGCGAGAAGTCCAGGCAGGCAATTTTTGCGTTCACTATTTTCTTAGGCATTTGCTGGGAGGCAAGGGTGCAGTTCAAGGCATAGCCTGGGATCAGCACCGATTCGCGTGCCGACTTGCCGTGCGCCTTCAGCACATTTATGGCTTTGATCGAGTAGGCTGTCTGACCCTTGGGATCGGTGATCTTCACAGCTTGAGCGGCATCCACGACCATGGTCGAAAAGAAATCGGCATCCGCGCCAATGATCTTGGAGCTCATTGATGTCTTTGCAATGTTGATTAGTGAGTCACGGCTCAGCTCGTCCACTGGTGCAGTCAGGTGCTCGGAAATGTATTTGCACGCTTCTTTGCAGGCAATACGGTAGCCAGAGATAATTGAAGTTGGATGAATTTTCTGCTTGACCAGCTCGTCGGCGTTCTTTAGTAACTCAGCGGCCAAAATGACTACGGATGTGGTGCCATCGCCAACCTCCTCATCCTGCAGCTGGGCCAACTCCACAAGCACCCTGAGGTGGAATATAGAATAGTCACCAAAAATCACAAAATCAATTGTTAAACTTACTTTGCCGCTGGATGTTCCACCTCTAGCAGACGAAGAATGGTGGCTCCATCGTTGGTAATGGTCACATCACCAATATCATCCACCAACATTTTATCCAAGCCGACTGGTCCCAGAGAGCTCTTGACAATGTTCGATATGGAGAGGGCGGCCATAACTGAAAGAGAGAACCAGATGAGAATACAACCCGAGATGATAAGTGCTCTGGACGCTAGACGTCATAACCTCACTTTAATTACTAGACATTGTTTCATTTAATTCTCATTTACTTTGTTGTTTTGCTTTTACAAACGCAAGATTTAGAAAAAAGAGACATTTCGAGCGATTTGTTCGAGAAGATTCGTCACCACCAACTGGGGGTCTGATTGGCAACGTGCTTCTCCCCGGCAACTTGAAGAGCTGCAGCTGTTGCTGAAAGCAGGGAATTCTTACCGTTCTGTGTGCGCACAGAAGCGCCGGACTGCCGTGTTCCAGCGATGGATAAGGGACTCGCCATTGTCGACATTTTTTGGCTGTGTTGTGCGACTTTTAATAAATATTTCAAACAATTTAAACACGCACTGCTATTGCTTTCAGTGAAAAATCGCCGCACGCTAAACCGCCTGACTCAGAGTTAGTGATGTATTTTTTTCCCCTCTATCGATAACTAGTAATCGAATATTTGCGCTTAATATAATTTGTTTATGAGATGTATAAGTTTAGTTCTTGCAACTTTCTTTCTTAAAGCAAAACTTAAAAAAAAAACCATTTATTGATAAAAAAAAAATATTCATAAGATCTTGTTTTTATTATGTCAGTTTTATTTAATTATTTAATTTGTCGTTTGGCGGTAAACATGTTTTTCTTCCTTATCGACTTTCAGAATGTAGGAGTGTTGGATAATGCGTTTAATTACCCATGAAGTGTTGTATATTGAATGCATATAAAATAATCGATGACACGATGCGCAAAGAAGTGATTATTCGATATAAAGTTAAGAAAACCGCGGCAAAATAACAAAAGCTATTTTTGTTTTGTTTATAGCGCTTAATCAATATTTAAAATGAGTGCAACTCCGCCAAAAACACATTTGGCTGCCGCCAGTGCCTCCGAGTACAAAACGCCAAAGAAACAAAAAGCAACGACCCGGCGTCCAAAATCCGCCAGTCTAAAATCTATTGAAAATTTAACAAATTCGGATGAATCAAGTGCCGCTGAGATCGAGGAGCAAGCACGCACACGTCGCTCAGCCCGCAAGCCAAGTCCCACTAAGAAGTATCAAGACTATAGAGCCAAAGTCGATGAGCAGCGCGTTGTTGTCAATTATGTTGAGTGCACGGACGAAGATGAGTCCCAGACCGAAACTGAGCAAGACCATGCTGCGGAGATAGGCATTGGTGCAGCAAAGCCGAGCACACGGGATCTACAGCTCATACAATCCGACTACAACGTGGCGGGCGCCAGCTTGTTTGGCTTCAATACGCCCAAGAAAAGGGATGCCATGGCATTGGCTGCGCTCAATGCGACGCCCTGCACGCCAAAGACACCAAAGACTCCGAGGCTGGGTGTTAAGACCCCAGATACGAAACGCAAAAAGACAGATCAACCAAAAACGCCAGCCCATGTCCGGACACGCGTCAAGCAACGTAAATGTCATTCAATCAAAGCTGCAATCAATATTTTAAATACCACTCTCTCCACTCTCTTACAGAGATAGCTAAAATAGTGGCCGACTCTGATGAGGACTTCTCGGCGGACGACAGCGACTTTCGCCCGACCGACGGCGACTCATCATCAAGCAGCAGCAGCAGCAACAGCAGTGACAGAGCCGGCTCAGACAACGACGCTGCAGACGATGAGTCGAAAACGCCATGCAAGGCGCGCCGTGCTATTGTGGTGCCTGTGCTGCCCAAGACGCCGTCGGCAGCGCGTCAGCGGCAGTCGGCGCGCGTGAAGAGATCCAATGAATTTGTGCCAGAGAGCGATGGCTACTTTCACTCGCACGCCAGCAGCAAGATACTCACATCGGATCACACACTGGATCGTCTGAAGAATCCACGACTGGCCGCAGATCGTTTGTTCAGCCTGTTGGCCGATATGAAGGCATCGGTCGAACACGAGACAGCCATTAATGCCATTATGGAAGAGTATCGATCGTACTTCCCCAAGTGGATGTGCATCCTGAACGAGGGCTTTAACATTCTGCTCTATGGGCTCGGCTCGAAGCGGCAGCTGCTGCAATCGTTTCATCGTGAAATTCTCAGCCAGCAAACGGTCTTGGTCATCAACGGATTCTTTCCCAGTCTGACGCTCAAGGACGTGTTGGACAGCATCACCGGCGAGATTCTCGACGCTGGTCCGAGCTCTGCCAATGCACACGAGGCCGTAGACATGATTGAGGAGGAATTTGCACTGATACCCGATACACATCTGTACCTGATTGTGCACAATTTGGACGGTGCCATGCTTCGTAATGTCAAATCTCAGTCCATCCTATCACGTCTGGCGCGCGTTCCAAATATTCATCTGCTGGCCTCCATAGACCACATCAATACGCCCTTGCGTAAGTAGCCATAAGTCAAATAGTTATGAATATTGCTGATGAATATTGCTTTCTTTGAAATTATTTTCACGATTTAGTTTGGGATCAGAACAAGCTGAGCAACTATAACTTCTCCTGGTGGGATTGCACCACCATGCTGCCCTACACGGATGAAACGGCCTTCGAGAACTCGCTGTTGGTGCAGAATTCCGGTGAACTGGCGCTCTCTTCGCTGCGCAGCGTATTCTCCTCGTTGACAACAAACTCGCGTGGCATTTACATGCTGATTGTGAAGTTTCAGTTGAAGAACAAGGGCAATGCCAACTATCAGGGCATGCTCTTCAAGGACTTGTACTGGAGCTGTCGTGAAGCCTTTCTGGTTAGCTCGGATCTGGCACTGCGTGCCCAGCTGACCGAGTTCCTGGATCACAAGCTGGTCAAGTCGAAGCGCAGTGTTGACGGCTCCGAGCAGCTGAACATTCCAATTGATGCGGCTCTTTTGCAACAGTTTCTCGATGAGCAGGAGAAAAAATAGCCGCTACGCTGTTTAGAACATATTAATTTATTATCTAATTTGTTAAATACAATTACAATTTGCGTTTGTTTTTTAAAAAGGTTTCCCGTGTTGCTCGTTTTTTCTTTCGCATTTCGCATTTCCCCAGTTTTCACTATAAAGTTCTTCAGCTCCCTTCTTATTGTTTTCTACACATTTAGATTGGCATGCATAAAAATGTTCTTCTATTAGCTTAAATATGTTTGCTTTTGATATTAACCATCTTCAGTTATCTGGCGGCATTCGCACAGCCCACTTAATTGCTTGCATTTGGTCAATTGGAATGAAACGCACAAACAAACGCTTTAAAAAGCATACAAATAAATTATGCCTAATAGCACTTAATTTATGCCTTGATTCGATTTTTGGGAGGCTCTTCGCGAGCTGTGCAAACACCCCGTTTAGCTTATATTTCTTGTGCATTTTAATTATATCATACGAGAACGGAATCAAAAAATCTATTGCTCTATATATATTTACACTTGCGCAAATCAAGCAAAAACTCTCTCCTTCGATTTGCTTAATTCCATCTATTTTTCGATTGCAAAATTCTATGTGCATGAATACCTGAATCTCAAGTCGTACACAAATTAAGTTAAGTTTAAACAATTTGATCTTATACAAATTTGAATATTTATAGTTGGATTATCACTTTTACTTTATTCGTTTCTCGGTTGTCTGTCTCTATATCATTTATGTTTTCAAATAAGATGCGACAAATGAAAAATATGTAAACAAGCCTTGACTAGACTCGAGCTCAGCCTCTCATCTGTCCCATTTGTTGGATCTTTTTGCCACTAAAAAAGTGGCCTCGTTTATAAGAAAGACTTAGTTGTTGTTTTTTTTTTGCTTACTTTACACAGAGTGCTAAATTTTGCGTTTATTTCGACAATGTTTTGATGTTGTGTTTCTTTTTAGTTTTTTTTTTTTTTTTTTGTACAAGAAATAAAGAAGTTGGCATTAAATACTTAAAAACAAAAAACATTCAAGTTTATTTTTAACGAAAAAGAGAAGAAATTTTATGTATACAATTTAAACCTTTACTGTTCTATTGAAAGGGGCTGTGTGTTACGGCGGGGGTTGTTGTGTATGTGTGTGTGTAGAGGGGAGAGGGGGTGCAAAGTTTTCGGTAAATACAAAAATAAAACCTTTAATGCTCTCTCTTGAATTCAATTAGCAGAGTTTACATATACACAATATATAAATCAACTTCATTATCATATCCGTATCATTATGCATTAGTCATACTCATCGAATATACATCACAATCAAAGTGTACGCTTTGTAATTATACGCGGTAATCATAATAATATAGTTAATAATAATAATAATAATTATAATAGTTACGCATTTTACTTTTTTATGTATATGTTTGTTTGTTTTTTTTTTTTTTTATATTTGCCTTGCGTTTTACTTATGAGCTTTACGCTTATTGATTTGTTTTTTGTTTATTTTTATTAGTTTTCAAATTGTTTTTGCTTGCGGTTTTTACTCTTGTTCTCATTTTTGTTTAAGCATTTTATTTCTTGTTTCAATTTCATCTTAAAATTAAGCATTAATCGTAATCATAAATCAACAAAATAAAAAAATTACATTTATCAAGTGTTTCAAATTTAAATTACTCGATATCGAAACAATAAACGGCTGCGGCTTAGGCCAGTTGTTGGTGTTGTTCTTGTTGTTATTGTTGTTGTTGTTATTATTGATAATATTATTAATAGTTGCCCTTGTTGTTGCTGCTGTTGTTGTTGTTGTTGTAGTATCGCATATGAATTTGTTGATCAAGTCATCAATTTGCATGCAACTGTTAAAATGTATGTTACAATTGTTGTTGTTGTTAATATTATTGTTGCTGTTGTAGGTATTGTTGTTGTTGCATGTTGCTGCTGTTGTTGTTGCTGTTGTTGTTGTTGCATTTGAATTGGTTGCTGCTGCATTGTAGTTTCAGCTCATTTTCACGCGTTTCCTTGGTGGTCCAATTGGTGGGATTTGTTGTGTTGCGAGTGCACGAAATGCCTCCGCTATCAAATGTGAATGTGTTGTGATCATATTTTGCCAGCCCGTGGTTTCCATCACATCGGTGGCATGACTGTAAATAATAAAGCACAATTAGTTTATTTCAGACAGATCGAGTAGTCAGTGGGTACTCACGTATTAATGAAATCTATCGTTTGTGCTTTCAATTGATCCGCACTGTGGAGATCAGCTAATATTAACGTTTCGGCTGCTGTTTCAACAGAGAGATTGACGCACAGCGCCTCCTCGCACATCACTTTCAGCTTTTCGAGTGCGTACTGTAATTGGGAGAAGGAGAAAATGAGTTACAATACATTTTAAATACACAAGCAGCAGTTATTTTGTTTTTCCCTGAGTTTTTCTGGAAGTGGAGGACTTACTTTATCAGCAGCCGCTAAGAGATCATCAGCCATTTTTTCTAGGTTGGACGCCTTGCCCGTGTATATGAATCGGAGCATTTCTTTGAGAACCTCATGATCCACATCGGTTATGGCGACACGATTCAGCTTGCGCTCCTCCATCTCGTGCTCAAACATGGCCGCAAAGACATCACTGCGCGCTAAGAGAGCGCAGAAGGAGAGAGAGAGAGAGAGAGAGATTAGCAATAGGTTCTATCAGACTTGGTAGGATATAGTTGTCCTACCTGCCAGTATGGCCTTGTGCGCCTGGAACTCACGGCCGCCCACCGAGAGCGTCACATCGCTGAATTTCTCGTTATCGAAGAGATTGCCGAGATCTTCGGAGAGCTTGCACTCGGGCACTTTGAACTGCACTATGTTGGATTGTCCGGAGATGTTCACGCTGTCCGCCACGACGCTGACCTCGCAGAAGATGGTCAGCTTGTCCTCAGGCAGGAGGCCGTTGGCCTCGTCCAGAAGAAAGTCGCGGCGTATGAACTTCTTAAAGCCCCAATCTTTGCCCTGCACGAAACGGTAAGCTCTGTAAACGGAATAAAATATTATATTTGGGATAATCTTCGATTGTTGGCATTATTTTGGACTTACCGCTGGGATTCCATTGCTTTGGTTTCCTCACGTTTTGCATTTAGTATGGAAAATTTGAACTTGGCTCTGACTTCAGATTTGTTACACGAAACTAACAGTAAATATAATGATAAGTAATCCTTGCTCTCCTCATCCAGACCCTTGGGATTCACTCGTAAACACCTTCAAAAAGATAATCATTAGTATTTAACCGTATTTAACCGTTATATTTTGTTTTGCTGTACTCACCATTTTAGTTTGTCATTAGCACCTGCTGAGAATGTGGACGATTTGAGTACTTCACCCATTTCTTCCCGACAAAAACTAAAGTTATTTATGGTCCACATATAACTAAATTTAACCACTTTGACCTGCAAGAAGTTGATGAATTTATGAGAAATAGAGATTAGTAAAGGGAAATAAAATAATTATTTATCTAAAGGCGGGCAGTACCCGGCCTTGTCCGGTATTACAACAGCCCTTTTTACGTTTATGGTATGGATTATCTGACATTGGTAAATTACGCCTTCATAATATTCTTATATAGATCTATGAAACTAAGTTTGCATTGCAAGCAAAATTTAAGTTTCGTCTGTGCAAGCTGGGAACCTTCATTTTCACCCAGGAGGGTGGATTTTACGAAAAGTATCCCGTTGAAATCACGTTTTCAACGAAATTTAAATAACGAACTATAAAAACTAACTATTTTAAAGAGCGGAGCATCAGTAAGTCAATCAGTCAGACAATCAATTAGTCAGTTAATCAATCAATCAGTCAATCATCAGTCAATCAAACAGTCAGTCAACAAAACAGTCAGTTAATTAATAAGTCGGTCAGTCTATCAATCACTCAATCAATCAGTCAATCAATCAGTTAGCCAGCCAATCAATAAGTCAGTCAATGAATCAGTCAGTCATGCAATCAACCAATCAGTCAGTCAGTCAGTCAGTCAATCAGCCAGTCAGTCATCAGTCAATCAATTAGTCACTCAGTCAATCAATCAATCAATCAGTCAATCTGTCAGTCAGTCATGCAATCAATCAGTCAGTCAGTCAATCAGTCAGTCAGTCAGTCAGTCAATCAGTCAATCAGCCAGTCAGTCAGGCAGATTAAACAGTTTTATAGTCGGCGATTGCAAATCTTTTCAACAGATTTCGCCTCTCTTTAACGATTCTCCAAATGGATTTGTTTTCAGTTTCAGTTTATCCTCGGCGCACACCTGCGTAACGTAAAATTCAGATGGACAAACGGAAATGCATTTGGCTGAGAGTGCAAATACGCATATAACCACAAAATGGATTCAGTTTACATAAATGAAATTTGAGCAGATGCAGCGGCAAATCCATAGGAATGTTCAGGTCCCGGATTGTGTCTTGGGTGTGCATTGGAAATTTAATCCTTTGCAGGAGGAGGACAAGGGATTTGGCGGCGGGGCTTACCTGCGTGTAACACCAGTTCTCAGCAACTGGCGTATTAACTTCCGGCAGGGGCGGCGAGGGTACACGGCTGACCGCCATTGTGCTACTGGATGCGTGCAGGTTCGAGGTGACTCTAGCTGTTTGGCTTGCCTGACATTCGTTTACCGGCAATCTGCAAAGGTAAGAGTTGAGAGAGAAGTGTGGTTAGATCGAGTCGGAATGCGATGAAAATCTAATTTATTTATATATAATCATTTATTTATATGCAAATAGCTGGAGCTAGCACCTTGGCTCATGCAGTAGATCCATGATGCTGCGCTCGAACTCAATCTTGACAAAGTTGCTGTTGGAACTCGAATGCCGGGCCAGGAGATTGAGCAGCTTTAAGAGCAGAGAGTTCTCCAGCTTGAACGCGCACGAACACAACCCAGACGCGCGGAAATATCAACAAAAAAATTTGTAAATTTGTTAACAATAAAGCTAGAATATAAAGACACTTTGAACAGTATAAAACGAGACGGAGACGAGACAGACACGGAGACAGAGACACAGGCACACGGAAATCACAAAACGGAATGCGCCAAAATGTGCAGCGCGCATAATTGCGAGGAAGGCGCGCAAATATCGCAAATATGGCAAATATGGCAAATGAGCGAAAGCTGAGCGTTAACCGTTATTGTGCGATATTTGAGTGAGAGATCATAACTGAGCACCGAGAGAGAGAGAGAGAGTAAGTGAGCTTTTGAGCACCGATTGTCTAGGCTGGCTATGGATTGTCTGAGCGAGAGAGAGAGAGTAAGAACTGAACGAAGGCACGACCGTACTGCTGAAGCGGCAAATGAAAACTGAACACTGCACCGTTGTGTGGGCCTGTAAAATCAGAATCTGAAACGGCCAAGATGCGTCACAGGATGCGGAGACAAGGATAATTCAGGCAGCAGCAGTGCCTGCAGATGACAGCAAACAATAGCCGAAAATGTAGCCAAGAGTGGAAAATTGACAAACAATGGGCGAGACGACGACGGCGACGCGGCAGAGAGCGAGGATCTGCTACAGCAACAACAATGCCAGTTTCACGCTGCCGCAGATGCACAACAGAGCAGCAGCAACATTTTTATATACAATTAAGAATAGAAAAACTTGGAAACATCTATACAAGGCTGTAACAACAACAACGCTGAGATTTTCTTTGAGTTTTCTTAGCCCAGTCGCATCTGCTGCTGAGCCGCGCGCAGTGGCCATCAAACGCTGAAAAGGACCTTCAGTGCGTGCCTGTGTGTGACAGCGCGTGCGTGTGTTAAAAGGCTGACGCGAATTTTATCAAGGTGAACAAACCGTAAAACAGCATCGGAAACAGCCGCAGTCGCAGTCGCAGCAGCAGCCGCAGCAGCAGCAGGCACAATAATAACGCAAAAACGAAGTCAGCGTGCAGCAGCGCAGTCGACGTCGACGCCAACGTCAACGCCAACGTCAACGCCGACGTCAATCATGCGGGGCTGGCGACCGCTGAGTCGTCGGGTTTAGTACCTTCAAGTAGCTTTATTCAATTTTAGTGAGTGTGCTTTAATGTTAATGACATTGATTTGGCATTGAGCGACACACACACACACACATGCTTACTGAAAGCTACACCTGCACAAGCACAAGCTGCCGTCTCTCTCTCGCTTGGCGCTCTCTTTTTTATGGCTGCGAAGGGCCAGAGCGAAAACTTTTGTTTGTTATGACATTGGAAACATTTACCTCAAACATGCTTTGGCGGCGCCACAAGGTAAAGCCCATGGCGCACAAGTATGCAGTTAAGGTTAAACGAGCCAAAACGAGGGGAAGGGGGCGGAGGGCTAAACTAAAGTGATTTTGGGCAGCCTCAGTGAACAGTTAAGCTCATGATGATTAATGAGTTACAGCAATCGTCGAGAACTCCCAACGTGAGGAATGACTCAGCACGCGAGCTGATTAGGCTGGACCCAAAACGTTTGAGGGTTGCAAAGTTGAGCAGCAGTTATGACACTCCAAATGCAAAGTAAAATAGTAAATTTTGAAGCTGTTTAATAATTAATATAATTGGTTTAAATAACAGTAAAATAGTAAAGATTTGCGTTATCGAGTGGACACTGTACAGGGTTCAGCAGCTTTGTTTTAAGGACCAGCCTTTTCATGCCTTTAAGTGTGCAAACCGACAGCGCAGTCGCAGCCGCAGCCGCCATTGGCAGCTGAATCGAATGCATTTGGTCACGGACACGCTGCCTAGACAGCTTGAGTGTGAGGAGAGAGGAGGGTAGACAGAGAGCAGCACCAGGTCAGCAAAGCAAAGAGAATTTATGACAAAGAGCAGCACGTGTTAAGATGCGCTTAGCTGTCGAGCAGGAGGAGGAGGAGGAGGAAGAGGAGACAAAAGAGAGAGGAAAAAATATGTTGGGGTCTGCAGCAGGCAGCTGCAAAAGAAAATCGCGCCAAATTGGGCAACGAAACACATACAACTTTTCACCAATTTTCCGCCAAAAGTTGTTTGTTATATAATTGAAGTCGACTCGCGTGGTGCTTTTCACATACTTCCGGCAACTTTTCATTAGCATTTAAATGAAATTTGAAAGAAAAAAGGCCTCCCCGTTAAGACACGAATGTCGACAACAAAAGGCAAGCCAATAATAAAAATGGTGAAAATTTTCATTTTTACAACAAATTATCGCATGAGTTTTCACTCGCTTGTGGATGTTGTTGTTGTTATTGTTGTTGTTGTTGCTGGCGTTTTCACCAACATAAAAAACAACAACAAGAGAAGCGGCAAAAATACTCCTTTCACTCCACGTCCAACAACAACAACAACAACAACAACAGAGTCGAGTGAAAAACGTTTTGAAGAAAAGGAAATGCTTTTCATTTTACATACACACACACACATAATCAAACTTATATATAGGCGATGCAAAGATAAATTTAACAACAGAGCAGAAACGGCCTGGCAATTTAATTTAAATAATGTGATCTTTCATGCCAATGAAAATGATTTCAAAAGAGAAACTACTCTTAGCGCCTGCTCATCTCTTCACTTCCGCTACAAAATGCAGCAACAACAACAAAAACAATAGCCACCCACCCGTCGTTCATGCAATTTCTCTTCGTCTACGCCTTGCCTTTGCTCTTCGCCATGGTCGTCATACATATACACAAGTATGCATGTATGTATATGTGTATTTTGGGGCGATGTCAACACTTGAACGCATATTAATTTTGTAAGCTCCCACGCTCAAGTTTCGTTTTATCGTTAGGGTTTGCTTCGCTACGTTTATTATATTTGTTGTTGTTGTTGTTGTTGTTATTGTTGCTGCTGCTGTTGTTTTATCTGCCTCGTCTTATTGTGAAGTCAGTCGTCAATTCGCTGCGTCCATTTGCCTTTGCGGGGCAGCGCAGTCGAGGCAAAGGCCGACCCATAAGGAGAAAGCTCCTCAGCGTATCTATCTCTCTCTCTCTCTTTCTCTCTCTGCAGTTTTACTTGCAGTTTTCGTGAAAGTCGCAGCCGACTGTGAAGCTGCTGCGGCTACTGTTGTTTTTGTTGCTTTTGTTATATAAAATGTATAAAATCATTTAAGTAGAGTGAAATTTGTAAATTTTTATTTTTGTTATTTTGTTACAAACTTTTTGCAAACGATTGCAAGTTTACATTTTTAACTGTAAAATGTTGTGTTTTATACAACTTTATAATGCACAAAAGTACTGCGGTCTACTTTTAACATAAACTATGCTGTTCGTTTTTATAGAATCGTTTTATTGTTTATTTTTCAACTCCACACAAAAAAGAAAACAAAATATGGACCTAGGAAATGGAAACGTGTGTGTGAGAGAGAGAGAGAGAGAGAGAGAGACCTTGCGGAGGGCAGGATCTTGCTCAATTTTGACACTTTAACTGGCAGCATTGCAACATAAATGAAAGTTTACACTAGTTTCGCGTTAATAACGAATAATGACAAAGGGAAAACATATTTCGTTACATAAGCATTACAAGCAGCATTGAAATGAGCCGTCGACTTCGCGCCGTCGCTGGCCTGTATTTATTTGTGTGGCGTGTACTGTATGCGCAGGCGCGTAGGCGTCAGCGACACGCTGACAGCGGCAGCGGCAGCGAATTTCACCCGACCGCAGTGTAACCGAAGTCAGGCGACGTAAAACGAGAGCAAATCGCTGTTAGGCACGAATAACGAAGCGACAACGCTTTATGTAATCGTAAGCGAACAACAACAGCAACAACAAAACAGCGGTCAAAGCGCGGCGAATAAAACTTGTTTGATGACGTAGCGCAGCAAAGCTCAGCTTACACGCGGCCTCCTTCACTTACTCTCTCTCAGAGTCTCTCTCTGTCTGTCGCTCTGCCGCACTCTCTGCGGTTTATGAGCACGTTGTGGCTTAGCGCGTGGCGTGTGTATTGTATAATAGTAAAAACCTCAAGCGAATGTTTAATTATCATTAAGCATACGTCATTAACTTGCTTCATTATCGTGTTGAGGCATGAAATGAAATCAATAAATTAATAAACATTTTGTGCCCAATTTTTACAGTGCACAAGAGGCCAAACTTGGCCGACTATTGTTGCTGTTATTGTTGCTGTTGTTGTTGTTGGCTTGTTTGCATTTTGCCGCTTTTACCATTTCTCTGCACTTTCTAAACAAATTGTGCGGCGACTGCGACGAAGCGAAGGAAACGACGACGACAAGAAATTGGCTTTCATGCGTTTTCACATTTTGTTTTTGTCGTGCTTTCATTTTTGTTGTGGTTGTTGTTGCTGCTGCTGATATTGTTGCCGGATTTCTCTCTCTCTCTCCCTCTCGCTCTCCCTCTCTCTCTCTCTTTTTTTATTGGCTTAGAAATTTGTGTAGAGATTTGTTCTAAATTCAAAATGTAGGCCCGAGTGAAAGAGGCGTGTATTGCTTCTGCTTGCTTTAGTTGTTGTTGTTGCTTTTATGATTACTGGGTGAAATGCGTTAAGCAAAGTGAAAACCAAAAAAAAAAAAAAAACATCTGTAGCAATGATTTCATTGATTGGAGCAGAGCAGCGCAGCGCAGAGCAGAGTTCAAGCAACTCGAATCACTCAGCCGCAGCGCGCTGGCAACATGTTGCTGCCGCAGCCGCAGCTGCAGCAATCGATGTCTGCCGTTGTTAATTAATTTAATTTTTGAAAGTTTTGCGCCAAACTATACACACACACACACACACACACACACATAGGCTTTTAAATAATTTATTTACTATGTACGCTTACTTATTGATATTAAAATGAGAAAGTTGCAAGAGATGAACGCATTTCGTTTCGAATTCATATTTCATATGCAACTTGTTGCAGCAACATTTCACTATGGCGTTGAAAAGACGAGATGCCAACGCAATTACATACGCATTAACATTAGCCCACGGATGCGTTAAGCAATTACATAAGCATTAACATTAACATTAGCATAACATAGGATTTACATTGACAGGGGCTCATGCGGATGAGGCCTGAGTTCTGACCCCTGTGGCAGGGGCACTGAAGCAAACTTCCCGTTCCGTTTGCGCAGAGCGTCTGCAAAAAAAAAAACCACAACTTAACAAGAACAAAAGCAGAGACATAATAAAAAAAAGCATAATATCCATTACAGGTACAGTGCACGCTTGAAGTCTTCACATAAGGTACATGTCGCTCTCTCTATCCCTCTCTCCCTCTCTCTCTTTGATTTCCCAAATGAATCACATTAATAAAGAAAGTAAATGCAATCGCAAGAAAGAGGCTATCGCTTCCGGGCCTATCAGACGATCCGAAGTTCCAAGGTTAATTAATAAAAACAACAAGTGCAAAAATTATCTTTTCAATTCCAAATCCAATTGCCATAAAACTAAGAAAAACATATGTACGTGCAATTTCTTTAGAAACAACTGTTACAGCTGTTTAGCTCTTTTAATATCAAGTGCAGCAAGTCGCACTTACCAACACTGGCAGCCAGCCTCAATCTCGCGCTCAACACTAAGGTCACCCATCTACAAAGCGACAAATTAAAAGTGGGTTACGCCGAGTTTGCGAACCGAACTAGCACATAACCTAGCACTCACACACACAGACATACATGCACACACATTGTTTTGTATGTGTGTGTGGAGAACGAGTGAATGCAAGAGTAAAACGACAAATCATCCAAATTAACACACGCAAATAATGTTGGTAAATGCATTAAAATAAAACCAAATATGGCGCGGTTTGTTGCCGTCGTCAAGGATGCGCCTTGACTAGTTAGTGTTGAGCAACTACAGTGAAAGCTCGTTTGAGCGGGACTTGTCCGCTTAAAAGAGATGTTGAAGCAATGTTAAAGAACAAATAATTATTGAAACTTTTACTAGTTTTTAGACTTCCGGTAAAAAGAGAATCCGCCCAACGAGGTACAATATTTCCACTAAATACATAATTTAGAGAAGGTAAGTTAGGAGATTGGCACTAAAAAATGTGTCAGACTGTAAGTAGAGCTTGCTATTAAGCTGAAACAATTTTTACAGAAAACTGTTGCTTAGCCGCGTGCTCGACTTTGTTCACCAGGAAGCGAAGTTCGCAGCGCGTTTAAATAAATGAAAATTTATAGAAAAATAGTTGCCCAACGGCGTTCCATATTCATTTTCATTTCTAGCGGTACATTTACGTATACGTATTGTAGTCGGATAGTGACGTCACAATATCAATGGCCCGCATTAACAGAAGGGCTGCAGGCAGCAGCTCCCATGTTAGTAACAGATTATGTTATGTTATGCTAAGTAAAGAACTGTTAGACTACATCACGAAAAGTACAGATTCAATAAAACCAGTTGCAAATAAACTTCGTCATCCTCGCTCAGTTAATATATATTTATGTACACGACTGTAGTGCACACATTTGGCTTCGAGTTTATTTACCTTTTATCACAGAAATTTGCAGCGGCGTTACAAAACTCCTTCGAATTGGGGCATTTAACTAATAATACTAGGCACAGAGGAGATTGTTGCTGTTGTTGATTGTTGTTGCTGTTGTTGTTGTGGTTGTGGTGGTTGTTGTTGTGGTGGTGGTTGTTGCTGTGGTGGTTGTTGTTGTTGTAGTTGTTGCTGTGGTGCTGCTGATGATGATGATGGCTGTGGCTCTGATGTTGCTGCTGTGCAGGATGAGCGCAATTAAAGTGTTGCTGCTGCTGCTGATAGTGTGATGAGGAGGCAGAGGTAGAGGCGGCGGCGGCGGCGGCAGAGGAGGAGCTGGAACTGGTGGTAGCTGAGGATGAGGCGCTGTTGTTGCTGTTGTGTTGATGTTGCTGCTGGTTGAGATGCCGCCGTATCGACTGATTAATGCGATTCGTTATTGAATTGGTCAGAGCGGAATGATGGCTATGCAGATGATGATGCGGCGACAGGTGAGTCGAGGAGGCGGAAGAGGTGGAGGCGGACGAACTGGAGCTGGCGGTGGATAAAGTGGGCCCAAACAGGCGGCTGGCAATGATGCTGTTGTTGTTGCTGCTGTTGTTGTTGTTGTTGTTGCCGCCGTTGTAGTGCCTGTTGCCGGCACAGGCGCTGCTGCAGTTGTTCGAGGAGGCGGCAGCGGCGGCGGCAGAGGCTGAGGAGGAACTTTGTGCGCGCGTCAAAATGTTTTGTAAGTTGCTGTTGTTGCTGCTGCTGCTGTTGCTGCTGCTGCTGCTGTTGTTGTTGTTGTTGAAAGCTGCCTGTAATATGCTGCTGGGTGTTGCCAAATGTTGCGCCAGTGTTGCTGTGCCACTTCTCGTTGCTGCCGCTGCTGCTGCTGCTGCTGCAGTTGCTCCACTTTCGTAATTCAGGTGACCCAAATGTTGTTGCAAAACTGAAGGTGCTGCCGCTTGTTGCTGCTGCTGCGACTGCGACGGCGGCGGCGGCGGCGGCGATGGCGTGCTAGCAGCAACAGTGTGTGGGTGTTGCGGCAACGTTGACGTCGACGTGGACGCAGACGCTGGCGTCGACAGCGACGATCTGCGCAGTAATACTGGAGGCGTTGATATCAATTGCTGCAGGCGGCTGCAGTTGCTGCCGCTGCTGCTGCTGCTCGCTGCTGGCGTCTCAGCCAACGCGCTGCTCAAAGCAACATTTCGCGGGCCACTTTGACAGCAACAATTATCACTAGACGCTTGCTGCTGCTGCTGCTGCGACGTTTGCTGCTGCTGCGACTGCGGCTGCGGCTGCGATGACTGTTGCTGCTGTTGCTCCAAATTCACATCGACAACATTTTCATTTTGATAGATTTCGTGCACGTTACGCTTTTTTTTGATTTTCACATACGGCTCAAACATTTTATAACTGAATAAATTGGCTCTCTTATTGTTGTTGTTGTTGTATTTACTTTTTTTATTATTTTTATTTGTATTTGAATTTAATTTGATAAACTTATGTATTAAGCGATTTGCTTATTGCACACATTTACACACAAAAGCACAAATACGCAGGCACACGTATAAAATTAATAAATTTTCTGTAGCTCTTTGGCAAGCTTTTTTTTTTTGTATGTTTATTGTTGTTGTTTTTTTATTTTTATTCAACCGTTCAACGCGTTTTCAATTAATGGATACAATTTATGTTTACAAATTTACAAAATTCCACAAAAGAAATATTGTTTTTATTATTGGAAAAGTTTTATTGAAACCCTGCAACGCTCCATGCCGTTTATTAAAGCTGTCGTTGTTGCTGTAGCAGCTGCTAATTTGGCCGTCAGCTTTTTTTTTTTAGCGGACGCACAAAAATTGAGAACGAACCACAACCGCTTCGCTTGAAAGTTTGCGGAGAACTAAACAAAGTGTAGCCAACTGAGCAACGGGTCGGGCGACTGCTGCCGACGACGACTACAACTACGACGACGTCGCTGCTTGCTGCTGTTGCTGCTGAGTGAGCGGCTGTCCGATTTCAATGCTCGGCGAATTTCGGTGTCGACGCCAGCAGCGCTGCTCGCAGCGTTTCAATTTTCGTTTCGTTTCACTATGTAACAAAGTCGACGCTGCAGTACGTACTATGGCGAAACGTTAAACGCACACACACACACACACACACACACACACACACACACACACATACACACACACACACATTTGACTAGACTCGTACAGAGCACACCTACACCTACACTCTCCACGGTTAGTCAAGTGAGAGGCGTTGGTGGGGCGCTTTGTGTGAGGTCGACTAGCGTATGGAAAAGGAAGCAAAATCGACAGCGGCGACACTGAAAAACCACTGAGCGCAACTGCGGAGAGAGTGCGCCAGTGAGCGCGCAAGCAAGAGAGAGCTAGCTGAGGGCCAACGGCAGCTGATAATTGTATGTATTCAAGTGCGTCTGTATGTATATGTGTGTGAGTGTGTGGCTGACGAGGGCGAGGCGAATGAGGCCATGGCATGGCATGATGATGGCTGATGGAACGGCCTGGCCAAGCCGGAGGTCCTTCGAGCAGATAAGCCTTAATCATTTAGTCACAGAGGCAGCTCTTCAATTGAGCCGCCGCGGCGGCCTTGCGCTGCTACCGCTGCCGCTGCTGCTGCTGCTGTTGCGGCTGACTTATCGGCGCTTCCTACTTTACATCAAAGTGCGCGACGGCTTCAACTTCGATTGCACATATCGGTTATGCTCTCAGAGGCATTGTCCACTCATAATTCTAGTATGGGCGGAACTGAATCACTCAAAAGACTTGAGTTACTTAAAAATGACAATTACAAGAATAGGGATACATCATGCATAAATTGAGTATAGTTTTGGACAGTTCTTCCAATAGAAACTTCGTTAGGTTTTTGGAGATTGACTCGATTTGAGCACAAAATTCTTAGTTTTTTTCTCAGACTGCATATACATACATACATAGGCATACATATGTACGCGGAACTATGTATGTATCAACCCAGGGGCGTTGTCGGCAACGCATGTCACGTCGTCTGCAGTCGTCGTCGTCGCCGTCGTCATCGTTGTCTTGGCCCACCCAACTAGCAGCAGCAGCAGCAGAAGCAGCCGGCTCTTCACTTTACTCCATTTGAAGCCTCCTTCTCTCTCTCTCGCTCTCTCCCTTTCTGTCTCTTTGGTTGGCCACTCAACACATTCGTTTCATTTATGGCGTGCAAATTAGCATCGGCCGTAGGGTCTTCGTGTGTGTCCGTGTCCTTTGGCCCGGGCCACACATCAGCAACAGCCGCAGCAGCAGCAGCAGCTACTGTATCTGCAACGGCTGGCAATTTGTTGGCCATTAGTCGGGCCCACAGCTGCGTCTGGGCATCACTTGAATGTGTGAAAATTTGACAGTAATGCGTCGTTCACTTTGAAGTTGCAAACACCGAAACGTGTTGAAAGCTGGGCGAGAGTTTCGATTGCGTTCAGTTGAGTTATCGCTGGGAGAGAGACTGGCGAAATTGGCTGCCTAAGCTGTCGGGGAATTTAAAAAAAATTCCCAGCTTCAAATTTCCCTTACAGTTTTTGAAGTCTTTTAACATAAAATATGTTCCCAATAAGAAAGGGAATTAAGTGTCACGTGTTTCGTCAATAATTTTAGTCGCTTTGCGATGTTCTCATCATCATCGGAACTTACGATCCAATACTTCCCACACCAAAAGCACCTTATTGGGCAGCGAGATAGAGACTCAAGTTCGTGTTGCTTATTCATAAGTATTGATATTAAAGGCCATTTCACGTCCATTGGCCTTTGACCACTTCCTTCAATAGCGGAAATAACACAACTGGTTCACCTTTCAAAATGTTTTGGTCCGCAGTTCAGCAAACTCCTTGAATATCTATCGACTTTCACAACACTGAAGAGCTGAGCTTGGTGCACAGTTAATCGATTTACAATAAGCTGTTAATAGAAATTCCTAACGCCGAGCATGTGTGTGTTTATATGTTTATTTATTGTATGGCAAAAGCGCATGCACATGATTTACTTGACACTAATTTCCATAAATAAAACAAAAAGTTCAATAAAAACGATGCCCCCTCCTCGCCCGCTTCGCCCCTGCTGACGCTTCAATGAATGGATGGCTCTCTGACAATAACCCAATTTTCACTAGCAACAAAGCAAAATATTCGTGCACACATACATATACACACACACATGTGTATGTGGACAGCTCGACGCGTTGACGACCAAGGCAGGCAGCGACGCTTACAGCGACCGCGACGTCATCTCATTCGCCTTCTCATTCTCATTCTCAATCGCATTGTTACCTTCTCTACATTTGACAAAATTAAAACTAAAGCAAACGTTTGAGCGCTTTTGGGCGCTCCCTCTGCCCCCTCCCCTCTGCTAATAACTTTGACTGGCGGCTGACTGCGACGCCTGCAGTGCGTGGGCTGCGGCGCCGCTGACGAAAGTGTTAATTGATTTTATTGCCTGCGAGAGCTGCTTTTACAGATGATCGACGCGTCTACAAAAAAAAAAAAACAAAAAAAATATTCCAAATACAGCTCTCAACGAACACACGAAAAGCTGAGTGTAAATGTTGCCAGGCGGTTTTTTAGGGGGGAGGGGGGAGTTTGGTTAGATACACAAATGGAGTTGTAAGCGGCGAAATACATGCACACATTTCACATCGGCGAGAGCTGCCCAAATGCCGTGGGATAACTTCCGCACTCGTGCCGCGAGTGAGCCGAGTGAAACTTTGAGACTTTTTTCGTAATCACTTTGCACAGCAATTGCCGTTTCGGTTGCAGTCTTTTACTACTCTTCTTCTTCTTCTTCTTTTTTTGTTTTTGTTTTGTTACGTTTTGTTTTGTTTCTGCTTGGCGTTTTCTATTTGGCGCTGCGCTTAATTTACATTTCAAATTTTCATAATCTTTCGTGGCCCATGTAACATTTTGTGAGTGATTGGAGCAGCGCGCAGCCAGCGCCATTTTCCGCATTTACACACACCCACACACACACACACACACACACACACACACACACACACACACACACACACACACACACACACTCGCAGACATTGAAATATTTGTCTCAGTTTTGTTTCGCCCACATTTTGTTGTCGTCATCAATGACAAATCTCAACTTTCCAACACTGACACATTTCGAGCTCCCAATTTTCGATTTCCATTTGCCGTTTAGCATACACATATAGTTTGGTAATGTTTTTTTTCTGTTTTATTGTATCTGTCACGCGCCCATTAAAACTAGTTCAACGATAATTCATAAACAGTTTATTATTTTGATTCGATTTTTTTTCGCTTTTTATACTTTGCGTAATCAGGTTTGTCGAAGCTCTTGGTTTTAGGCTGGCCAGTGCGGGAAAAGTGTCGAAAAAACGCGTGTCGAGTCTTGGCCTTGGCTTGTGCTTTTGCTGCTTTCGACGATTATTCAACATTCGTCGGTTTCTTTTTTTTTTTTTTTAAACCCTTGCGAAAGGGCATTAAAGGTTTGTCGGAAAAGGTGTTACACACAGTTGATAAGGTATAGATACTCTTAAGCCGAGTTCATCTTTTCGCTATCTTCATGAAAACTGTATGAAATCTCTATGATATAGATACAATAGGAAGAATTGTTGTCTTTGTACTGTATTTTTTTAAAGCATAAAAAGTGTATTTAATCTTCGACAGCCTAAAGAATAATTTTTTTTGTTATGTTCTTTGGGTTTCGGTATGGAAAGTGTATTTGCTCTTCGACACCCTAGAGTTTAATTTTCTTTGGGTTTTAGTGCTTACAACATTATCTATCTATTGTTAAACAATTCAATCTGTAAAATCAGATCGTGCTGCTCTATACGATCCCTACAATTGTAGGTCCTTTATGCACAAAACCAACTGCAATATTTTACAGCTCGAGCTATAGACAATTTGTCAAAGCGAGTCCTGAGTCTGGATTCAAGCCATCTGTAAGGGAACCAAAGACAAAGGAACACCCAAGCAGACTTTGTCGATCTTATCTCGAGCGACCGACAATGTCAAAACAACAAGCCTTAATATGATTGCTGCGAGTCCTTTTGGTGTCCTGCCCGTCGCTCGCCTCGACCCTGGGTGGGCAAGTGGCATACGGACATCGCAGGACGTAATTTGATTGTTAAAAAACCCAGCATCTATTTGAAATGCAATTGCTAAGGCTTCTTCCCGCTGGCAGGCAAAACCACAGTCTACCAGGATAGGATAAGAGCCGAAGGGGCAGGCTGCAATAGACTTCCCACGGCGTTTGTTTACGCTCATTAAACGTTAAAAGGTGCAGCCGGGCACCTGCACACGCGGATTGCTGCGTGTGTGGCCCGATCTTATGTGGTCTCTTTGCGTCTTATCCACACACTCGGAGAAAAAACACTGAGTTATATGCTCAAAATCAATTTTAAATTTCTTACATCTTATAAACTAAAGTTTTTCATACAAGAACCTCATTTTTGACCGATCGTTCCAATGGCAGCTATATGATATAGTGGTCCGATATAG